TTTTCTTCCCTATTAAACTTAGAAAGATGAAATATGATTCATTAGATTTGTCTTGTTAAGGTACATTGTATCTATTATTTTCATGTCTCTAGAATTGATAGATCAAAAGTTATTTGCATTTTACTGTTTTTAGACATTCAGCAATAACTTCCGATCTATTGAACTTATAGACTTGAAAATACTGCGGTTAGATGCATCTCAATTAGACGAATCCAATGAATCATAAATCATTAAATTCTGATCACTGGACGTCGAAATAATGTGATTTAATGATCATTTTTTAGAAATGTCCAGATACTTTTGGCAGGTGGGTGTATAGTCTTCCTATAACTAAATATGCAAGTAAAATCAAAAATTGGTACAATTTGCAGTAAAAAAAGTTTTTAAAATATTTTTAATATTAACCGGTTATTAACCGGTTAAGACCCTTGGTTAACCGGTTTTTAACCGGTTAAAGGTTTTTTTGGACGGTTCCAATCCCTAATATAGTATAGTATTACAAGTATAAAAGGTACGGATGGGTATAACCTCCTTATACTATTATTATCATGATTGATTTAATATTGACAACGAAATAATAAAACTTCCATGCAGCACATCGCTGCTGATGTTGTTTTGTAAATTAAAATTCTCATTCCCACGATATTTCTTTCTTTATTAATCGCCATCTGATTATCTGATTTCAATTTAGATGAGTTTAATGAATGAAATATCAGTTTGCAAGAAATTTAACCATACAGCTGCAGCATTTCGTGCTAAAGTGATAACATAATTGTAGCAATAATTAAAAATTTGGAACAAATAGTTGGAGAATATATTCGATCAAGTGATTGTTTTAAGGTTACAAATAATAGTTTTATATTCTCATTTTCAGGTAAAAATAACCTTCAAACTGCAATAACATTAATAGTTATATATATTGTATGTCACAAAACATGTGGTTTAATATTCGTTGTAATGATTCAAATTATTAGGTCATTTAGGTGCAATTACCTGTACAGGTTGCTACTCCAAGAATAGTAAGTATTTTAAATTACCGTTTAATAAAAAGTTTGTGAAAATAAGAAATAAGGAAGGAAATTAGGGCAAAAAAATGAGAAAATTTCAAAGGATTCTTCCATAGAATTGAAATTATACATCATGTTCTATTAAACAAGAGACGTGAATAGATGATATTTCTGTCATATTCATATGTTGTAATTCTTCAATATTTATAGTTAATACTAAAATACGTCTATATTACTTACCTCTCTACTGAATCCTCCTAATCGCCCGATCCTCTAGTAATCCCACTTGTTACATTGTTTTATATTGTAAGATATCCAGAATGAAAATGAGCCATTAACAATATATCTTCATAAAATAATTATCTTTTACGTTCAGCAGCATTATAAGATAGACGCGAAGTTTCTTCACACTTAAACGCGGTTGATAAATCTTGGCTTCTTTCCATATGATAAAAATCTTTATTGTTATATAGAAATCCATGACATTATAATTTGTCGAATTTTATTTAACTCTCAAGTTGAAGAATAATGATCCCATGCTTGATTTGAATACCCACGCTCTCTACCTTGAAAAAAGAAATAATCAATAAATTAAACGACGCTAAAGCGATTTACTCTATTTTTTTTTAAAAAAAAAAAAAATTGTCGTCAACTACAATAAATATACTAAATTTTGTGCAAAAAAAACATTGAATTGACTACAAAGAATGATAAAATAATTAAGTAATATCTATCATTTTTTGTTTCTAAATAAAACATTTCAAAATGAGTGAAATTTCGTGTAAAAATAAACCTGGTCCCAAATTTACCTTGAAAAAAATTGCGATAAGATAAAAAGTTTTCTGGAAACTAACTAATTTCTTCATTTAAAAATTATTAAATAATATAGGGAGTAAATTATTTATGCATATAATTTTCGAAAATTCGAAAGTTTCCAACGACATATAATTTGATGACAATCTAGTGATTTTTTCTTGAGATTGGTAACAATATTGGAACAAAAAGACTATTATTTCACGAGTCACTGGAATATCATGATTTTCACGGCGCAGCCGCGAAAATCATTGATATACGTATTCCGTAAATAACTATTACATACATAATGAATACAATTATCTGGTAAGTAAATTATCGACATCGCGATTTGTTGATCAATATCTCATTCTGAACAATTTGATATCATTATGAAATGTCATTATATATTTATTTATTTGTTTTAAAAAAGCCAAATTTGGTTGATCATGTGCGTATCACAATCGGAATTTTTCATTAATGGTTTTTTTTTTCCAGTTTATTGAAGAAAAATTTTTTTTCTTTTCTTTTTAAAAAAATTTAAAACAAAGGAAAAAAAATTATTAATGAATAACATTCAAATAAATACGAAATTGAATTTTTGCTATAGTGTATTTTTATTATTTTTTTTTATAAATCTCTTATTTTCCTTCTCGGAAGCTAAAGGTGGAGGTGGCAGTACTGGTGGAGCTGGAACAGGATTTGGAAGTGGATCTGGATCTGGAGTAATAAGTAGCGGAAATAACAATGGAGGAGGTGATAATAATAGTGAACCTTTTTTTAAATACGTAAATGGTAAAAGAGTTTGTACAAGCTTATGTGTAGCAATATTCATAATTTTATCATTTGTAGTAACAACTTTTTTAAGTTTATTTTTTTGTGTGTGTTATGAAAGATATAACAAAAAAAAAAAAAATAATACAAATCAATTATATCAAAATATGATGAATAACGAAGGATTAGGAAATAACCATATTGTAAATATAAATTATGATGATTCATTACCTCCAACTTATGAATCTACAAATCCTGCACCTGATCCAACACATGAATATGGGAAAAAACATGAAGCTACAAATACTTCATTACGTGATGCCGAAAGTTTCTCAAATCAATATCCTCCTAATGAAAACTTACCTACACCTGAAGAAATTGAAAATATTGTTATACAAGATGGTTACAAAGCATGGATATTTAAACCTGAAGATATTTTAACTAAAAGAACTTCCATATCAAATGATGGAATAACGGTAGAACTATATAAAAGAAAATTAGGATCCAAATATGATGATATGATGATTCAAACGAATTTTCCTTTCTTTACACCAGAAATTCATAATCCTGAAGAGGAAATTTTACATTATTTTGAAATAACTTTACTAAATAAAGTATCAAAAGATTATACTGTTGCAATCGGAATTTCTACCAAGCCTTATCCTTACTTTAGATTACCAGGGTGGAATAAACATTCTGTCGGTTATCATTCTGACGATGGAAGAAAATTTTGGAACGATGAGTTTGGTGGTAGGGATTATGGTCCTGAATGGGGTAAATTAGGTGATGTTATTGGTTGTGGATATAAACCTAAAACCGGTGAAGTCTTCTTTACAAAGAATGGAAAATTCTTGGGAATTGCTTTTGCTGGATTAAGACATATATGGTATCCAACTATTGGTTCAGATGGTCATGTTAAAATGAAAATTAATTTCGGTGATGAACCATTTGTGTATAAAGAAGCTCTTGGGTTCGGGATTGGTGCCCCTGGGAAAGTGAAGACTAATGAAAAATAACTAATTATATAATTATTATATTTGTTTGTGTTGAAAATTTTAATTAACAAAGTCTATAAATTTATCAAGTATAATTATTATTAAAAATAAATATAAATGCATTCTATTAAATGTAAATCAGGTATGAAATTTGAGTCACCTGAACTTTACAAGAAAATCATGTGTTAATCATGTGTTAATCACCTGCTTAAACATATACTAACTATACTAACTATATAATTTGTTACACAAAATGGATTTACACGGAATAACTTTCGGAGTTGGTTTCCAAAAATTGTTAGTGAGTTTTTTCACTTTTTTTCAAATTTTTTTTTTTTTTTTAAAAAAAAAATGAGTTTAACACGATTGCCCAACGATTGTATTTATGATATTTTAAAATATCTAAAAAATGATCGAACAACATTGTTTAAATGTTTATTTGTAAACCGGTTTTGGTGCAAAGAAACAGTTCCTTTGCTTTATGCAAATCCTTTCGATAATTACGGAAAGAATCGTTATTTAATAATTTGGACCTTAATTTTATGTTTTGATGAGACAGAAATTCTACAATTAAAGAATCTTTTGTGTGCGGAACCTTATAATATTAATATAAACCCTGAATACAAACCCTTATTTGAATATACCAAATATTTAGAAAATGTTAATTCTGTTAAAATCATTGATTTAATTGTGACTTGGATTGGAAAGATTACTAAAGAATATTATTATAAAAATTTTAATATTATTATAACCATATTTTATAATTCTATTATACGACAATGTACCAACATTAAATATTTAATTATTACACCATCATATTTTCTTAATGATGGAGAAAATATTAAGACTTTTACTTCAAATTTATCAAAATTAAAATTATTAAGATTAAATTTTAATGATGAAGTAAATAATGATAATATTTTTGAATTTTTACGTGGAATTTCAAAATATTGTTTAAATATTTTAAAATTGGAAATAAGTTTTCTTAATTTTTCTATACCATTGGATTATTTTTGTTCAATTATACAAAATCAAAATAATCTTAAAGCATTTAAAATATTGAATTATGATAATAATGAATCTTTATTAAATGATATTTTATCATTTTTAGAATTTCAAAAACATTCTTTGGAATCTATGGAATTTGAAAATGTTGATTTTGATTTTATTTCTTTTAAAAATTTTATAAATTTATCAAATTTAAAATATTTGAATTTTCATAATTGTAAAGGAGGTTCATTAGATCAATTTGAAATTTTAAAATTCTCTTCTTTTAAACTTAAAGAATTAATATTTAATGAACCTACTTGGAATATTGATATTTTACTTTTTATTATTAAATATTTAGGTTCATCATTACAAAAATTATCATTAACTAAAATTTTAATAACAATTCCCCTTATTGAAAATATATTAATTTATTGTTCAAATCTTATTACATTAGAAATTACAATTCATTCAAATGTGGATTTATTGATATTTTCTTATTTAAAAAATTTAAAAATAAGAAAATTATATCTTCATTTTTTTGAGGAATTCAATAATATAGATTTATTTATAAATTTATCTAATAATTTACCTATTAATATTAAAGAATTATCTTTTTATTTTGTTTCATCTTTTAATCTTTTATATTTTAAAGAATTTTTAGAAAATTGTCATAATAATAATTTGAAAATAATTAATTCAAATTATTTGATTAATTTAGAATTTCTTAAAATAATTTTAGATTATATTGAAAAAAATAATAATAATTTGATGATTCTTGGTATTTTAGAATTAGAAAAAAATTGGAATGATGATGAAATGATTTTATTAGATAAAATTAAAAGTAATGGTGTAAAAATTGTTGATTTTAATAGAATTTATAAAGAATTTTCTTACGATTTTATTATTTAAGTTTCTTAGATTTTTTTTTATTTTATAAATAAAATTTTTTTAACATATATATATGTATGCGTATTTCAAATTAGAATTTTAGTACGATATTTGAGATTAATTATGAAATAAAATCTTGCAAAAACCTGAAATATTTATAGTCAATGCAAATAAATTTTAGAGATGTGTCCGGGAATAAACTACCATGACCGTCAAGGAATAAGGGTAAGCCAATGCATTATACATAGATACTGTTCAGTTTGCAGTAAATAGCTATATTTGTATTTATATTTAATATTCAATTAGCATTTGTTATTAGTTATACAAAATGTTTCCAATTATTATTAGACCACTTACAGTTAATTCTCCATAAATGCTCATAAACGCATCTACTATATGCACACCTCTTTAAATGCACTATTTCGAAAGTTATGCACAGTTGGATGCACTTATTGTATAATCTAACTAAATAAAAAGTTATTTCCATTATTTATACACTGTTATCTTTTTCATTAACTCGATATAAAAGACCTTGATATAATTATAGCTGATGTTTCAGTTGATACAGTATATCTACATATATTAAAAACTTGATATAATGATAAAACTTTGCTTTCAGTTCCTTTTATATGAGAGAACATATAAATATCACTATATCAGCACGATTTTGATATAATGATATTTTTCATATGGATCCCAAAAGTATCGTTTTATCAGAGTTAATTATATATTCTCATTATTAGAATATAAGTTAATAAAAGTAATCCAAAATTTTTCGTAAATTATAAAAAAAAAGCTGAAAAAAAGGCCAAGATTTTTACTAAATGAATTACTATCAATTTGCGTCGGAGTCACGTGATAGCAACAGAAGTTCGTGTCACGTTTATCGTAAAATAAAATGAAATAAAGTATATGTAAAATTAAAACTTATATATGTAACTTTAAAGTGTATATTTATTCAATTAAACAATAACTTAAAATAAATGAAACAATACAAATAAATAAATACTAATTCATGAATCATAACAAAAAAATAAAATTTTGATGCCTCCACGGCGATCTGCAATATTACCGATAAAATTGAAAACTAAACTAAACTAAAAATTAATACTTCATAAAATCCTCCTTTAAAATCCCCTTGTTCGCCCATTCTATTTATATTGTTCGTAATTTCGGTATAAATTATACCATGTATAAGTTAAACTTCGTATAAATTACACTGGGTGTAAATTAAACTAAGTATAAGTTATAAAAAGTATAAGTTACACCGTTACACCGCTGATCACTGGAATCTTATGCTGAATCTTCGATGTGGCGCAAATCCGCGTAACAATATGATAAAAATTTTTGGACCTTTGTAATATGATATTCGAAGTTTGTTTTCTCTAAATAAAAATAAAATTTATATTATTAAAAAGATATATATATTCATAATATTTATTTCTCAAGCTTTTATAATGTTATTAAATTCTTTTTATAAATAATTTAAAACATTTATTATAAAGGCTTATAGATAATTGTACTGTCTGTCCTGTAGAAATCTGTGGAAGTTCATGCAACCCATCTGCAAAATTTTTAAAATAAGAGAAATACGATAATATTAATCATAAATATCTACAGCTGAAAATTACTATAGCGATATTATAATCAGCCTTCTGTACTAATCCATCAAAATTTCTAAGAATGTAATGATCCTATATAAGCGCACCATATTATACCAGTACGTTGAGCCTAGAACAGTATGCGTCGAGAGTAATTTTGAGGTATGAAGCCTGTTCGGCAGTTCGGCAATGCATATAAAAGTTTAACTAAAAACTTGATACTGTTTGGCTAGGCATTCATGGACAATGTAAGTGAATTCACGGTAGAAGCGTAGAAAGGCTGAATCAGTGCAAAAGAGGACATATGCATCTGTTTAACATATTCTTATTCATCCCGAATAATTTTCTGCATTATGTAACAGCGATATATATTTCGCTCATAATATTTATGTATTAGTTGCTGTTCCCAACAACGATTTATGTCGTTAAATTTTATAGAATAATTTGATTAACTGGGTCATGCGTACGTTCTGATACAGTTCTGGTTAACGGCCACAGCAGATTGTTCTTATTATTTATTCATTTTTTTTTCTTTTATTTACTTATTAATTATTAATTATTAACACTAATTAAAAAAAGACCTTTTAGCTATTTATTTATTTATTTATAATTAAACACTAATAAAAAGACAATTTTATTGGTTATCTCCATCCTCTAACATAACTGATAAGTTATAGTAAATACTAATGCTGCAGTAAAATAAAATGAGAGAATCGTTAAAAAATAGTTTTTAGAACAAATAATATAGACAATAACAAAATTATGAAGTGGAAGCAATTGTGCATAGAAATGATAGCAAAGTTGAACCTTTGTGGTATATGAAAATTAACTAAGAAAAAGATATATTAATATAATCAATATATGTGATGAGAAAGTTAAAGTTGATGGTAACTTGGAATAATAATAATAATAAATAGTTATTGGATGGGGGAAAAAAGATATCTACCGCTTTGGCTATTAATCGAAATACTGTAAAGACCAATATCCCCCATGAGTTATGGTTCGGTCATTAGGAATACTGAGGAATTAATTCTACTAAATAACGTCTAATTTATAGCGTGTAAGAAAAAAATCACAAAGTAAAAATTATTGTAATATTATGTTACATTTGATATCTACAGAAGATATAATCTAATTTGGAGTTGCAATTTAAAAAGTAAATTGAATGATAAGGGAAAGGAAGGCAAAAATCAATGTTTAATTTAAGTGGGAACAAAGAAAAATTATAGGAAAGAGAAAAAGACATAACAAGAATTGAAAATTGATGTAATTGATTATTTGATAAGTGGGTATGGAACAAGCGTGCAGTTACACTGTTACATGAATAACCAAATTACATTTAATAATGTATTTTAGTGATTAAAATATTAGCATCTGACTAATGATGAAAAAACGGAAGTTTTCAACGCTATAATTAATATAGATAAAATTAATATTGAAATAATTATAAATTTATTGGTGGTAAAAAAGAATATAACAGTTAGTTTATTTGTCAATCAAAATCATTTAGCGAACGTTACTAAAGATTTTAATAATAATTCAAGTACATGGATACGTACATAATTGGTTTACAGAGAATAATATCAAATTACATATATTCGAAAATAGATGGGAAAAGTATCATGTTTTGCGTTAGAAGAAAAATATTATATATGAGAATTATAGGAATTGAGTCAAGAGGAAAACAAATATAAAATATTTAGAAGATTGGGAGTATACGGAATTGTGAAAATAATGAATATATAGAATAATTAAAACAACGATAAAGTTATAAATTATGTATATATTGACGCCGGGAAAAAGAAAATTTAAAAATTCTAACAACTACTTAATAGTGAGTTCGTAAAAATCGCTCAAGAACCGTCTGTGTAATATTAGTTGAAAACAATCACATGAAATTACTCGTCTTCAAGTTGCATTTCTTGAAATCTTTGTTGAGCCGTTCTTTAGCTTCTTTATTCATGCTCTTGTTTTGCCTTTTCTTTCTCATTAATTTGTCTAATACGTTGTCTAAGACGTTCTTGAAGTTCTTTAGCTCTCAAATATTCTTTACTTTCCATTTGCTCAACCTTACGTTTGTGAGCCTCCTCAGCTTCTTTTCTTAATTTCTCTTCGTGTTCTTGCTCATTAATTCCAAGACGTTGTCTAATACGTTCTTGAAGTTCTTTAGCTCTCAAATATTCTTTACTTTCCATTTGCTCAACCTTACGTTTGTGAGCCTCCTCAGCTTCTTTTCTTGCAATCTTTTTTAATTTCTCTTCGTGTTCTTGTTTTTTTCTTTCTTCCTCTTTTCTTTTCAATGACGAGCCTTCTCTTGTTATTTATTTATTTATTTTTATTTAAAATTAAATTTATTTCGCAAGAAGACGGATCACGTGTGATGATGCAATCTGTGCGACGTAAATCAAAAATAAACCTCAGTACTTTTTTACCGGAATATATTTTATCTCACTCAGGAACGTAACATATTTTTTTATCCGAGTCTTATATCACTATAAAAGCACTATGTCTGAAACTAATACACATGCCATGAGACGCTCACGCGAAATTAAAAAACATTATATAGATGTCTCATACTTACAGCGATAGATTATTCGCAAGGAGATTAAGGTCGTGCGTTCCTTGTTATAACGGATCAGCCAATTAAATTCTTTGAATTCACTATAATCTTATGGAGGATTCGTTATATCAAGAGTAGACTGTATATGCTTTTAAAAATACCATCCATTCAAAAAAATCATTCATAAAATAATCTAAATAGTTAATTACACTATTTTTCTTTCTTTTAGAGATCTTTATTTATTTACATATTGAATCATTACAATTCTTCAAGGGATGGCAGGTGAACCTGCATCAGTTCTTGCAGATTCACCAGGGAGTGTAAGGAGAAAATATTGAGTTCGATCTCGTCCTACCGCAGTTCGAAGAAAATATGGCATTGATTCAATGCGCGACAAGTACGTTGTGGAAATTCTTCAATATTATCAGGGTGCTACGGGGAAGGAAAGCCTGAATACGAAATAATTGGTGATGAAAGCACTGGATGAGTCGATGATGTGATCGAGATAGGCTATTCCGTTGCACTACAATTCGAGGTGGAATGGGTGGATAGGAAGCCGAGAATATTATTTGCGTCACAGAGTATAAACCACGGCGAAACGTAGTCGGAGGCTTCGCTCAGAATATCATACAACTTGGAAGTTCGTTTCAAACTAACAAGAGAAAGCGAAAGCGGGAAATGTCGATGATTTTGACTATCTCTATGGTATTAAAACCCAATAACGCAATAATCTTTTTATTTATATTTAAATTTTATTTATTGTGGAAAAGTTAATTTAACGAAAGAATGTGGATGGTGTTAATTCAATAGACAAAATGATGTTGTTTTTGATGAACTAAGAGTCATTAAATAAGTCACTTTCTTCTCTTATCAACCCCCTTTATTGTCATCCCACATATAGTCCATGAAGAAATTAAAAATCTACTTTTTAATACATATTCAACTTTTGGTGGTAGTAGACGAAATTAAGATAGAGTAGCATGTGTGTGGGCTAAGATAAATTTACTGTATATCGTTTGAAAAATGATCAGCCGTTAACCAAAGGTGCGTAAATTGTTGCGCATGTACATTAACATAGAAGCATTATATATCCCTGAATTATGTATTATTTTTCTATCTCTGTTGAAAAACTAGTTCAATGCGATAAAGAAAAGGCAAAACTTATTTCAAACTAAATTGTGGTATTGGGAAAATCAAGCGGACGAATCACGTGTAATTTCCCGATCATCTATTTCGTCACCTATTGAAGACCATTATATTTAGAAAATGGATCAATAGCTTTAGAGTTTAGATCAAACTAATATACCTAACTTCAAATCGCCGGGGAATAGAGACGAATGAATTTTTGGACTCTGAATACAAGAAAAGATTAATAGTTAGGGAAGGGAGTCGAGAAAAAAAAGCTTCAGGATTTAAGACCGACGCAACAATATCTTCATCCTCTAAAGCGCAACCGAAATGTGCTTTGCTAAATACTATTTCTTCCAAAATAAATTCCGTTCTCAGGATACCGCGTCCATTCTTTTCCTTAGATATTTCTTCTGATACAACAATTCCATGCAATGGAATTATAATGATTATTACGGGAAACGAGCTTAGGAATTCCAATAGTAACTGCGAAAATATAGAAACAGATTTTCCAGTGAATCAATGTACTTATTCTTTCATGTATTTTTTATGGGCAGCGTCCCGCACCTGTAATCATTTCTGTATTAATAAAAATTCCTCACACTTATCATCTGATGTCGTGCCAAGTTGGCTCAACGCCATATGTCATAAGCGGGTTCAAATAATCAAATAATAAAATTTTCTACGCCCTTGTGACACGCTGGAAATGTAAGAAAATTTAAAAAATAAATAATTTCTATTTTTCTGTTTTTGTTTATATTTTATACATTTCTAAAATGAGTGGATTGAAAAAATATAAGATTACTGATATTAATAATTCCGGAATCAATTCATTTGTGTGGTATAAAGATGATTCAGCTCCAGATACTTGAGGAATTTATGGATAGATTTCTATTTAAGGGGGAGAAGAAGCATTCCCAAAATAAGACTTGGAAAATGTTTTTCATAGGCGAAGCGATGAGGATTCGAGGTTGTGTCCAAACTGTAAAGGGAAGATGCAAATCCCAATTGGTTTCCTTGGTGTAAAGATTGCTGGTTAAAAAAAACTTCGAGATGACTTTCCTAAATGGACAAGTGGAACGCTGACATTGATATTCTTATACGGAAATCCCAAGCCTATTTAAACCACATATCTGGAATGGATTAAACTAAAGCAATTCGCTAATTGTCAATATATTGCTGAAGGTGGTTTTTCTAAAGTTTACAAAGCAAAATGGCTCGATGGACCCCATGAAAAGATAATCTATAAATAGGCCTATTCGCGAAATTGAAATCATTAATTGCTCAAAAAGAATAGCTAAAGATTTCGTCAACGAGGTAAAGCATTAACACCTTTATTGTTGCAGGCTTTAGTAAAGAAGAATGAATGGACTAACTGTTGTAATATTATAAGATTATGACCACTTGATACCTATAACACTATTAGTAATATTGTTTCCACTCAATTACATGGGAATACAATATGTCCATCTATGCTCTGGTTATGGACTATTTCCCTGATAGAGACTTGCGAAAATTTATCAAACAAAATCTCAGATGGTTACAAAGGCTTCGTTTTCTTAATGATATAGCATTAAGCCTGAGAATTATGCATGAATTGAAGATAGTTCATTGGAGACCTCCACGGTGGAAGTATATGAATTACATGCAATTATCACCGACTTTGGGTTGTCGCGACCAGTAGACTTGCCTCGCCTACATGATCAAGGAAATTACGAATTGTTCCATGGGACTGAAATCCTTCAAGGACAGAAGGAATCTCTAGCTTCTGATGTTTATGCATTTGGAATTATTATGTGGGAATTTTCAGCTAGCGAGCATCTGACATTTTATGAGTGGGATCATCTTTCACTTATACATAACATCTGTGAAGGTTTCGACCAAAGATTCCTGAAGGAATTCCTCCTTTATGTTCGACATTTATGCAAAGATGCTGGGATGCTGATCCATCGAAAAGACCCAGTAGTGAGGAGATACATAAAACTTTGTGTGATTGGTATAACTCTCGAGAAAATACTGCTAATGAAGAATTACGTTTTCCAAACTAGATCTTGGCGATCAATGCAATGTTATCGCCAATACGCTCCACCTCGCCAACGGATCAAGAAGAATTCTAAGCCAGTTTACCGTAGTCAGTTTGTTCAGAAATCAATACCAATCGCAATGCTATTGGAAAATATAGACAATTGAATATTAATTAACAATTTGTACAAATGTTTGTTTTTATATTCATATTTACGCAACCGCTTGGCATTTTTGCACTGTTTTAATAAGCAAATTATATTAATAAAGTTTTTCGCTCAATAAGGGTTTGGATTCTTTTAACTCATGAATGCATGCGTTAGCGATCATGTTACCGTTATCTGAAAACGTATTCCGTCACGTCATTATTCCCGAATTTTTTAGAATTCAGACTGCGCCCTTGCACATGCGTGTCCAGATCTTTTTCTCTTACAACTCTTACAACTTTATAACTTGTAATGCGCACATGATACAATTTTCACAACTACTAGGAAATGGAAACCATTTTAAGTCCGGAGAGAAATTTATATATGTAATTTAAAATTTTTTTATCAGCAACATGAACAATTGGTAAATAAAATAACAAATATTTATTAAAGAATCTACAATTTAATTTAATAGATAATGTGTTATATACGCTATCTTTTGTCCAAAAAAATAAATTTCGTTTTGATATCCACATCATCTAAATCCTTACCAGTAGCGACAGCATATAGTTTAATCGTTTTGATGTATTCATTTAACAGAGCTGTCACCCTGCGTGGTTCTTTTACAGGTTCTAAGACCGGTGAAGACGGGTATGACCCTAACCAATTGATGATATCTCTTACTTCAAGAAGGCTGTCTACCCATAACTGTCAGGTGTATATTGATTGTATATCTTTAATAAAGCGAAATAAATATATAAATTTCAGCAATCACAAATCACATGATTAGTCACCGCCAAAGATTTTGAATGGCTTTGCCTGATCATTTGGCTTCCCTCTTTTTACGAAGTTTGACTATTGTATAATTTTTCGCGGGAGGGGTATGGTTTCTAGGACAATGCCTTAAAGCTTCGGATAGCCTTTGATAAATTTTCAGGTTCATGAGTTACTACTGCAAATACAGCTCCTAGTTTTCGTAAATATCAAGGGAGCCAATCGTATTTTTTTGTGTATGGAAACATTTACCACCAGGCTTTCCGGGAACTGTTAACTGTCCAGATGAAATGGCATCCTGAATCCATTAGAGTAATTGCTTGGCTCGCTCTTCACTCTTTTCCAATGATTTAAATGCACGAGGAATATCTGCCTGCCCCGGTGTTTTGCATAGCCAGTCACACTTCCATTAGAAATGCGCAAACTCTTCACTTCGGCAGGACTACAGAGCATTATAATTACATCATAGTCATCTAATCTCTCCTTGACTGATTCTAATGCAAGTGCTCTGGATAATCGATCCCTTCATTTTCACGAAGTAAAATCTTTTTCTTTTGTTCTTCATTGGCTAATCGGGTTGTTTCAGGATCTAATGTAGCAGAGATTATTTTTTCTGGGATATCGAGCTTGTGCAGTTCTCTTTGAAGTCTGGAGAGGCGTGATGAAGCAGAAGTAGCACTTGTGGCTGATTCAACTAAGGCCTTAGATAAAGCTTTTACTTCCGTTTCATTAAGATTGTCCTGAACAATGTGCTGGACCTCCTGGACCAAATTCCCAATAGACTCTTCTTATGAAACTTGACATACATTCACTGTACCCCCTCCGATTCCATTTCTTGAGGGTAACAGGAGTATTAGGCACGACTCCACTTTACTCCGACCACCTTTCTGAAAAGGAATTAATGCAGTGACCTGTTCGTCGTTAAAATTATATCCATTCCAAAGTCGTTGACGTGCTTGAATTCTTTTCTTTCTTTCTGTTAGGCGTTTAAGTAATTCAGGTGCAAATTGGTTAAGGACTTCAGGGCGCATCTCCGAATTGAGATTTTTATAATTGTAATTATAATTATAAGTTATGGTCTTTAACGAACTGGGTCACAATTGCGGATATGTTATTAGGTTATACTGATAGAATTAGATTATACCAGTACAGGGTTATACTATGCAGATAAAACTTTCAAAATTTTCTTGGTGAAATTTCAGCGAACATTGTTCGCCTAAAATCACATGATTTCGGCAGGCATCCAGGCGACCAAAAAATGAGACCAGCTCAGGATGAGCATAGCCTAGTAGAACAATGCGCAAATTTTGTCTTACGTAAAGGGAGATATATTATTGAACAATCCAGCCATCTATGAGGAATCAATGAAACTAATAAATCGATGTCTCCTAAAGAAGTGGCTCTCCTTCAGACTCTTCTAGAACTATTACCAGGATTTATTTGGGTCTTTTTCCAATGGAAACGTTTTATCAATTACATGATTTAAACCAAGACAATTATCTCATTGATTACGTAATCAACAATCGGAATCATGAAATTTTTTTTTTTTTTTCACCAGAAAAATTTGGCATCTTAAAAAGTTTGTGATGGAAATGAAGATCAATTACTTCAGATTTAAAACTTTTCTTGAGGGTTTTCTTATAGAGAAAACACACGCTTCTGAAAGAAGATATTAAATCATGCATTGTTGTTTCTGGATTGGTGAAAGAAAAAAATTGTGAATTCGTTTAGTGTACAATTTATTCAAAAGTAAGTAACAACATTTCAAGAATAATACTAGTTTAAATAATGAATATACAGACGTAAAATGGTATATTGTAATAGAGAAGATGAAAAAGAAAAAAGGAGTGATCTGATTAAAGGTAAAATTTGTCATTAATATCTAAAATTAATGCAATAATGATGGGATGAACTTAGAAAAATTCACTCTAGTTTGAAATATTTTTATGAGTTCTTGATCTTGGCCTGGAATTTCTTTGGAATCGTTCTCTTTCAGAAAAGAAATCTAAATTTTATGGTGAAAATTACGATTGTCATATTAAAAAAAAGGCCAATTATTTTAATAGAACTGCGATTTTGCAAAACTTTTAATAAATACAACTCAGTCATAAATAGAAATTACATATTTATTAATTTTATTTAAAAAATAAATTCCTTTATTATTTATAAACCAATAAAACACTTTTTGATATTATATAAAAAAAAAATTTATGAAGTTCGCAAATTCTAGATTCTTTTTAATAATAATTCCATAATATTTTCTATTTATTGATTAAGTTATCCATTTGTTGTTTAAGTCCAACTTTTGTTTTGAAAGTTCTTCTTTCGTTTGTTCTTTTTGCATCTCTAGTTTATTATCTTGTTCTCCCTTATTATCTTGTATTTTCACATTATCTTGTACTTCCTCATTATCTTTTTCTCTTTATTATCCTTGTTCTACTCCAATATAATTTATAATACGTTCTAATTGTTGTTTAAGCTCAACATTTTGTTTTATAAGATCTTCTTTAAACTCAATATTTTGTTTTGTAAGCTGATCTATTTTCTTTTCTAGTTTATTATTATCATCAGAAAATGCCACTAACTCTCTCAATTTCTTACTGATAAATGGAGGATAATTAAACACAGTCTGTTCGTTATCAATTGCATTAATTAATTTACGAATCTCGGTAATAGGTATATCATAATAACTTAAAATAATTAAATATATTAATAAAATACACAAAAATAATATTAACAGATTATGTATAGTATAATTAATACTTACATCCAATCTGGAAACCATTTCTTGTTATTACATTGCCATGGTAACATATAAAATAATTCAATCTCCATAATAATCTTTAAAAAGAAAGTAAAGCGTTAGTTAGTAAAATAAAATTGATATAATCAACAATGTAAAAAATAGTTACCTGTGCTTTTTGTAGTAAAAATTCTTCTTTTTTGTTATAATCATTAATTGCTAGATTGAATAGTCCAATAAATAAATTCATAAGATAGATTACTGTGAAAAATGTAAAAGTAACCAATAAAATGGTCATAATAGAATGTTCACGATAAGTAAATGATGATAAAGATCCAGAATCACCTATAATTATATCAAAAAGTTATTAAAATATTTGTTTTTTTTAAAAAAAAATGCTTTATAAATAAAATAATAAATTATTACCAGTGAGAAGGTTATATACTGCTAAAAGTGAAGTAGGGAACCAATTAAATAAATTTGTATTTGAACCAGGATCTTGAATTATTGTTGTAATATATTACTTATAGTTCCATCTGGATTAACAAAAACATATTTAGTTGCAACATTTCGCGGATCATTATCATCATTAATACTATTTGATCTTAGAACAATGAAAAATGCTTGAGCATATCCAAGTACTATAAATAATAAGACCACTAAAAATGGAAAAACTTTTTTCGCAACACCAATTATTATGGCAAAATAAATTCCAAATGATTCAAATACTCTAAAAAATAATAAAAATTTAAAACTCAATAATATAATAGATATTGACGTAAGCAAAATTGGTTGGTTGAAATTAATGAGCCAAAAAATGGTAGGTAAAAGATATGCTCCTACATCTATCAATGATTAAATCAAGTTAATTTAGTTTAAATATAAAGCAATTATAAAATATTACTTACCAAATAAATTCCATAGTATATCTTTAAAATAATGCTTATAATTCCATAGATATTGTCGAATTTCAAAAATTAAAAATGTTGAGCCAAATATAATGGAAATTATAAAAAGTAATTCAAAATAAGAATCAGAAATAGACTTTTGTTTTTAAAGTAGAAGCTAATGAATAACAAATATAAAAAATTGTATAGAATAACCAGATCAGATAATAGTAAACTCTTCCAAAAGTTTTCCACTTAAAATCTATAATCACGGTAAAATTCCACAAATTATAAAATGATTACTATCTATATTACAAAATAGAATAGATTTTGGTTTATATAAAAATTCATTCCAAATACTATTACTTTTTGGTATCATCATGATTATTTTTAATCCTGTGATCATTTTTTTTAGAATTGTGATTATTTTTGATTTGATATCGTGATTTTTTTTAGTCACATTGTTCTCATAGTCATTACGTTTGGAGTCATCTTGGTATACGCAAATTTGAGGAAAAGGAACAATGAAATTGACTACTTCATAATTTGCTGAAATAGGCTTAAAAACATTATTATTTGTATTCGATTCTTTAATGTAAATAATGTTTGCATATGAATGAAGTGAAGGATTTTTTGAATTTCCAATGCAAATACAATAAGGAGATAATATAATAGAAGTGGATGAGATATATTTGATTATGAAATCAGGATAATAATCACATAATATTGCTAGGTTTAAACTTATAATAGTCATGTAATTTTCGGAATAATCTTGAGTTAATTCAATAATTTGTTGAACAGCATCTTGAATTTTGTTTTCAATTGCTATTTTTAACATTTTAATTCCAAATTTTGGTAATACTAAATTATCATTTATAACATCTTCAACTATATTCCTTCTATAATATTTATCTTTTATAATTGGTAGGAAAATATTCCCTGTCCACTCTCCATCATCCATTATAAATATTGGGAATGGTATTGAGTGTTTTGAATTATCAAATTCATTTTGTAAAAATTTTCCGATAAGTAGCTTAAAGTGTTTAAAGTGTTTATAAATGTTGCTGTGTCTAAAATTTTCACCAAAATTCTTCCATTCATTATTATGCCAAAAGTATCGTTCAATCTTATTTTCATTTAATGTATAAATACCGATTCCATGCACATCAATTACTACCAAATCCTGGTTATTTAATAGTTTAATTGAGAATGTACTATTAGGAGTACATGTGAAACTTCTTTTAGTTTTTATATCAAGACTGCCATACTTTGTATAATTTTAAAGGTAGATAAAGTATAAATACTATTTCTATATACGGTCTTGTTTGATAATTGTTGCAATTTATTTTCATCGATTCCACTTATTCCATTTGTAACACAAAAATTCTTTTATTTAATTTAGTTATCAAACTTGTTGTATTATTAAAATCATCGGAAATGTCAATTTCTTCATAGACTTGATAAGGATCTACAAGTTTGCTATAATTTTTACAACAAATGGCTAATCTTTCAGTATTTTTCAAAGTTATGAATTTAATTCGCCTATCATACTCACTTTTACCACCTGCGAATAAATTATAATTAGAATTTATAAAAATCTACCATATCAAAAAATATACTGTATGTATTGTAAAAGTAATACTCACACTTATAAATCAACATTCCATTTTCCATTGAATATATATTAATAGTATCCTCCCCTGATCCTATCGCCAATAATAACGTTTGATTTTTATTCACTGTTATTTGATCCTCCGAATAAAGAGTAAATTCATGGTATTTTCTTTCTAAATTCATATTCATTGTCAATAAATCAAATTGAAACATTTTACTGTTATTGACAATATTTAGAAATAACTTTGTTCGATAAATAGCCGATTCTACTTGACCATTTAAACTTTCAGGAATTTCTATATCAATAATTAATAATTTGAGAATATTCCCAAGGAACTGTGTCTTTTGGTTTATCTGTGAAACAGTACTTGTAAATTTTGCGATCTCTTAGTGATACTTGAATTAAATCACCATTAGGAAGGAATCCCATGCCATAGTAGCATAATCAACTTGATGCTTTAGTTTAAGAAATCGATCACTACTAGTACGATCATTATTTAAATCAATCAACCCTACATTACAATATAAATTATTAATTAACATAAAATTGAATCACTATTATTTTGAGTCAAAATAAATACCTACAATTATCCTTACTACGTAATAACAAGATTTTTTTAACTTAGCGTTTGTATTGAAAATATATCGATTTTTTTTTTTATCAACCTTAAAATAAACATCGGGTTGTTGTGGACCATTATTTTCAACGTTAACTGACCATTCAAGAACCGATCTACCATATTCTGTATAATCCATGCATTGAGAAACAAAAATTTGATGAATTGATTTCCTATGCATTTCAGTTTTAACAAAAATATCATCCTTCGTTTCTGATGGAGTTTTTTCAATTTCTTCCTTATGTTCTTTTATATCAGAAATATCAATCTTCGTTTCTGATGCGGATGTATTACTTTGAGTTTCAACTTCCATTATTGCGTGAACGAAATTTTATTTATAAAAATTTATGAAAAATGAACATTTATTTTATTAAAATTTATCATTTATATTAAGCATAATAAATATGCACGCCAAGAAAATCAAATTTTTTTTAACGATAAAGTTAACTTCATTTAATTGAACAAAAAAAGTAAAATTAATATTTCATCATGCATAATGTTTGGTACAAAATATTGCGCCGGAGAGAACGATAAAAAAAAAATAACTTGTCTTTAATTTGATTATGCAGGATAAAATAGGAAGTTAAAATCAAACAATTTAACATTATTAATCTATGCCATTCAATTTGTAATAATTTACGAGTTCTCTAAAAAAACCAGATTTTAAGATTATCATCAAACTATCTTATCTTTTTTATGTTTATAAAATGAGTTTCGAATAATAAATAATTCCGTGATACCGTAACAAATTGAGATTATTAAGACATCTAAAGAGCGGGTAACATTGTGAACAATGAAATAACGGTGAATATAAAAACAAATATTAGTGGTTAAAAAATAAAGTAAAAATTAAAAAATTTATCATCCAATGTGTATGTGGGAATTTTATACCCATTTACAGCTAGCAGTTAAATTCATTTGGCTTATTTGATTGTCCAAACCGAAAGCTATAAAAGGTTAACAATGTCAGACATATATCCTGACAATCATTTATTATTAAACGCCAATTACTAGACCTGACACGCTTTTTTTTTAAGGTTTGACTGTGTACAAAAAAGTTCAAATAATATGCCAAAAGCAATCTACTCACATCTTCTATTTGATCCAAAGAAGTCGATTTTCGTCATTAACATCACAAGACCCAAGAATCTACATCAACATAAAGGTTATTTAATAAAACTGGTTAAAGCCACTTTGTACATTTGATATTTCATTAGCCTTGTTATAATACAATTTCTCCAAGGAATGAAAAAAATTAAAGTGAAAGTTTATTCGTTTATAGTAACCATCCATTAATTAACGATCCTAATATACTATTCTAAAAATATCATCGGCTTATATGATCTACACTACTATTTCTTATTTGTAATGGTCTTAGAACATGTTAGAAATTCTAATACCTTCACTTCGAAAAGAATGTTACGTGGTCTTGTTGAATATTCCTGCTATAGAAAAGGGTGTTTTATTTATTTATTTTATGTCAAACAGGCAACAGATTAAGTATTGCTATTATTCAATCAAAATGAAAGTTATTAGCGCTGCACAAATACAGTTGTCATCTAGCAAAAGCCAGACCCTCGCTTCTAATAAAAAGAACCCCATAGTCCTACTCTCTACCACGACCAATAAAGAGTAGTATTAATCGAACTGAAAATAAAAAAATAAAACCAACAAAATAATTAATCAAAGACTATGTAATACTAGGGATTCTTATTTTAAAAGGTGTCAATCAAATATATAAAAATTAGATGTCTTCAGCCAATTAACGGGCTGCCACCTGTAAATACTGTAAGAGGTGGATTGGTTCACACTATTCAGTTTTGAAAATCATTGGGGAAGAATAATAAAGTATGATGTAGCAAATTGTCTACTGGGGTAAAAATTTCAATGATTTTGGTGAAATGACTAATTCTAGAAGGAATTATTAGTCACGTTACTTTCTGTTCATGGCGTAGAGTATCATGTGATATCTTGCATAGATAACGTACTAGCTCAAAATTAGGTCTTGCTTTCCTTATCAGCCAATGGACAAATAACATTTTTTTGAAGTCTAGACCGAAAGTCTAAAAACAACAAAAAAGACTTTCTTTTTAAATGAATCATGATTTTAGTCGATTCCACCTAACATGTAATAGAAATGCATTAACACTCGAAGTTTCTAGATTTGAACTTTATAACGGTCTATGCATGTTTCCATTTTACTTTTCTTATACGACTTGAGTATCACTCAGAAGTGACCCAAGTTTAAACGTTTCTTAGAACATAATTATTATGAAGATTCTTTTAAAATCCTAAAAAATCAAAGACTGAGAACATGAGGATGAAAAACGAACGTTAGGATATCTATTTCAAGGAATAATTGGTTAGTGATTTGCTTTTTTAAAATCAAATTTTTCGTTTTAATTTTTGAAATAGATAGTTCGAATCATTTTATGGATTTATACACTAGGACAAGGTTTAATGCGTGTAATATCTTCTGGTTTACAGTATACTGAAATCCTATGAAAAAAAAAGTAGAAGTAATATCTGTATAGACTGAAACACATAGCAATGAGTCAGTGATCAACCAAGAAACGAAAGGCTTATAGCACACGTTTGTGAAGACCTAAGATCCAGCTTCTTGATGGTCCATAGATTGTCTTTCAATATACATTAGCTTTCATCCTGGGATCTGCGTATGTTATTCAGATTCATAAAATTCTACACGTACGAATTCCGAGTTAATAGTTTAGTCTGAACGTTTTTGTTTTTTTTTTTCTTTAAAAGTGGACTATTTCTTAAAATTTTTCAATGAATTTATACGAAATCTGAATCGACCGTAATTTCGTCTAGATCTATTCCCAGGATTTATTTCAGTTGTTTCGAGGTTGAGGAAAATTTTTAACAAATCATGCTCATATCATGGTTACTTTTTTCGTTACCTTTTTAACATATTATATAAGTCAACGAATAAGTTAGACAAGTTCATGTTATAAAACGAAAAAGACACTTCGAAATTTATTCATCATATCTCTATCAAGACTCCAAGTCTGTAATCTGTATTTCTGATTGTACTGTATGACGAGCACACATCATCGACGAAGAAACACTTAACGCATTTCAAAATATATCCGATATTTGATTGCGAGAGGTCTTCTACTGGTGATGTTAAGTGAACTAAATGAGAATATATCGAAGACAAGCATACTGATATATTATATCGTCATCAATGAGAGTATACGTAGCAGAAGAAAAATTTTATATCTCCGTCATTGTTAACGGCCAATCCTCCTTCAATGTATGCTAATAATACTCATTATATAATAAACATAAATAATACTTGTAGTTATATGAAATGAAGAATAATAGATTTTTTTTTTATTTGATGAAAGAAACATCGAGGATATAAAATGTGATCAGTATGTGTCAGAACTAATAATATATTTGCATTACTTCGATGCTCTGTGTGAGATCCAACTTGACTAAAATCATTAAACCTTGATCCCTTGACCATCCTTTTCCATTCATCTACAGAAAATATGTAATGCATCGCATGAAATTGTATGCAAGAATAATTCTGTATGAATTTCTGATCGAAGTGAATTAACATACCTGAATTTCTATTATAGACATTTTTTCCATAAAAGCTTCTTTTAGTCCAAGATCAGTATCTATCCATAAAAAATCTCCGTGAAATGAATATTGATATTTTTTTGTTCGTAAATAAGCCTCTTTTAGGATCACAACTGAATATTTACAAAGTATGCATTTTTGTTATTACAGAAAGTCTATGATCACGCTCTAAAACATTATTTCGTTTGAGATCAAAAATCTTATATAAGATACAAAGAAATATACTTCTTGATCCGATTTTCTTCTATCTATGATCTTGCACAAGCCATCATAAATTCATTCCTAAAATATAATTTTATCATTTGATCGTTTCTCCACTTCAATCATCCGAACAAATCTAAATCAATAAAGCATTTTAAAACATCTTTATTCTCCAAGTGGCGATAATATCACCAATCAAATAGATAGTTTTTAACTGTGTATTAATGAACGGGTAAAGTAAAGGTTAATTTCTTTACATTATGTTACCGTTGGTAACGAAAAGGTTGATGATTTAATATGATGTCCGAATATTTAGAGATCTCTTTTGAAGTAGGAGAATCAAAATCATTGTTACTTCATCACATGTGTTACTAGGATACTAATAAAGTCTTCACCTTATTATCTATCATACTCCACATTTATGATACTTCAATATATGTGTTAACACCAGAGTATGGACATCATATCTGGCTGTAAAAGGTACTTTATTGTTAGAAGTTAAACAAGTAGAAATAGAAATAGAAAAATTAATAAGTATATGCATAATAATGATTATGTCAGTAACTTATTATAATAGGCTACAATTACCAAATAATTTGGTTGAATGGTTAAACTTAATTTATAAAGAAAGTAGTAACAAATCTGTGATAATAAATGAAAATATTATCAATTATACTATACTTAAAATGATTCAGATAATAATATTAAATTATTTTGAAAAGCCAATTAATTATTATATTAAATATTTTTCAAAGTTTAAAATTATTAATATTCATTTGTAAATTGTTATCAAATATCTCAAATTGTTACAATTAGTCTCCAATGCTTACTACTACATACAAATAAAAATTGAATAGGCACAAAAGCATATTAATGATAATTAGAGCAAGACCCTATTTTCAGATGAAACAGTCTTCCAACTCTTTCAGAATACTGTGAAGCGTTAGCATAAGAAAATTTGGCCAGTACACTTCATGCCAAAAAACAGAACAAAAATTTTTACATGAAGCAGATTTTACGTAATGGGCAAAACAAGTTTATTTGCTTTCATCGAATAATGGACATTAAATTTTATGTTAAAATCATTGAAAACCATATTCCAGAAATTAATGCAATGCTTGAAGATGATTGGAGACTTTAGCAAAATAATAATCTAAAGTACATAAGCCATCTTGCTAAAGAATTCCTCAAAAATAATCCTGTCTTAAATCTTATAGAAAATTTATGGCCCATTATTAAGGGGAATGTGGAACATCAAATGCCAAAAAATCTTAATAAATTAAAAAGATTTATGGAGAGGAATGGTCAGCAATTTCAGAAACTATAATAAATAAAGAATCTAGTTAGTTCAATGAAATGATGTTGTGAGCTTATTATTGAAAATAATAGAGAGCGAATCTCCTATTAATTTTTCTTATCAAAAAGAGCTGGTTTTCAGCTCTCAAATAAAAAAAAATTTTATATATTTTTATATTCTCAACGTAAAGTTATTGCTGTTTATTTTATTCTAGTTTTTTTTGTAACACATTGTACCTTTATTAACAACTTTTTAAAATTAGTTAAATTATAAAATTTGCCTATCAATACAAGTATTAATATGAAAAAGAATCTGATATTATTTTATAATATAAAATTTGCAATTAAAATTATATTTATATAATAATTATAAATTTTAAATTTACCATAAAATTTATTAAGAAACTTGCTTTTTATTACTTAAGTAAACTGATTTTTCATAAAATATTATATATATTTATATATTAAAAAATAGAGTTTTGCCAACTTGCAATCTCTTATTATTTTTTTTTTTAAAAAAAAATGATTATTCATTTTATTTTATATAGATTTTATTTATTTGGATATTATAGAGTATAATAATCAAGTTTTTTTATATTCTTGATAATGTTTCTTGTTTTTGATTATAACTATAATTTACATTTTTTTTTGAAATTTGGGTAAAATTATATAATTATATAAAATTTACTAAAAGGTTAAATAAATCACCTAGAGTTAAAATTAGTTTTATACTAAAAAATAATACTTATTTTTTACTAATAAAATATAAAAGTTTAATATAAATTTTTATATATTGTATTAAAAAAAAAATAAATAAATTATATGTTAATATAAACATAAAAAATTATTATTTTATTAGTAATTACAAGACACCTTCAAAAATGTGACATTTCCACTGACTGATATATTTTTTATACTTTAATAAAGTAGATAACATTTAAAAAAAATATAAATATATATATAGTATTTATAAGATATGTTTGTATTATAATAATATTAATAAAAAAAATGAGAATATATTTTTTTATTTAAATTTAAATATTATTAAATCTATTCTTGTCTAATGCTAAAAAAAAGGTATAATAAATATTAAATAGCTTATTAAAATCTAATGCACTAAAATCTAATTTAACTACAAATTCTTTATATTTTTTTTATACAGAAATTATATTTTCCAATTCATTATTTTTTTTATTATCCTGAATAATATTAGTTTCTTTAATAATTTGTTTATCCTTTTCATTATTTTCAGATACCGAATTTTCATTACTTGCTTCAAAATTAATAGTAATTTCATTACTTTCATTATTATTACTTGCACTGTTACTTGAACTTGATTTTTCTGTAGATTGTGGAGGTGGAGTAGGAAATAGTTCATCCTTAAGTTTAGGTAAAAATTTATCAACTTTTTCCCATGTAACGTTCCATAATTCAACTGATTGTTTAGAACTAACACCTGTGGGTGATGTCATTCCTGGTTGATTAATTACTCCTGATGTTGACATTACTAACAACATATTTTTCAATGATTCCGGTACAGCTTCTCTCTATTTATTTTAAAAAAAAAATTATTATTATTATTTTGCAATAAAATAATCGCATGAAATATACGAAAGTTATTACTTACTAATGAATCATTATCACCAGTAGTCATATATCTTTCCATAACATCCAAAATTTGACACCATAAACTAATTAATCCGCCCCATTCAGCCAATCTATTTAAATAATGTAAAAATATTTTACACAGTAACCCCGAAGCTCTCATTCTAATTTCATCTATATCACTACTATCAAATCCTTTGCATATGTCAGGTTTAAGTAATTGATCAAGTAATGGAAATAATACTACATCAAATATTAGTACCCATTCCGTTGTCCCATGTGATACTAATTCTGGATCTAATAATGATCTTTGTAAATATGATAATGCATGTTGTCTTACTTCTTTATATGGACTATAACATTGTTGACTTAATCCCGTTAATATTGGTAGCCAATATGTTGACCATGCTAGTTTATTTCAAGGGAAAAATAAAAAAAAAATAAGTAAATTTATTTAAAATTAACAATTTCTTATTAATTATAATTATTTCTTACCTTCCACTGGTGAAGCATTAGATTCATTTAATAATTTAGGTATCTCCTTATATAATTGATGTAATAATTCAACGGATTTACGTGCTCTCTCTACAATAGCAGCTTGTGTATTATTTATTCTTGACCTGGGATTTCTAATTTGAGATGAATTTTCATGTTCAGAAGTGCCTGAAGCAAATTCCGTTAATAATTCAACACATTCGTTAAAATTATCACTATTAATATTTTTATTTTCTTTGATTATTGATGCTATTGCTTCAAATGAATATTTTGATGCTTGTGGATGTGTTGCTGTTGCTTTAAATAATGTAAATACATTAACCCACGGCTTCTTTCCCCTAAAAATAATAAATTATATAAAATTAAAATCTTTTAAAAAAAATGGAATCAACGCATAATATTTATTTACCTTATGTATGATGCATCCGATTTTATTAAATTTAATATGCCAGCCATCATTTGTTCTCCGACCGAATTTATAATATCTATAGGCAAAGCTCCCAATAATTCTAATGCCTGTAAAATGTCATTTGTCATTTCATCCTTTTTTTTTTTTTAAAAAAAAAAAAATTAAATATATATTTTTCAAAAAAATAAAAAAAATAAATGAATTCATTATACATTACCTTATGAGTTAATCTAATACATAATCTCAATAATGCTACAACGGNTTTTTTTTTTTTTAAAAAAAAAAAAATTAATATATATTTTTCAAAAAAATAAAAAAAATAAATGAATTCATTATACATTACCTTATGAGTTAATCTAATACATAATCTCAATAATGCTACAACGGTTCTTTCAACCAAAAGTATACTATTACTTTTAGATTCTTTCAAAATTCCAGTAATATGTCCAAATAAAATGGGCCTGGTTTCAAGCAAATAAAAACATCAGCCTAAAATAATAATAATAATATATTATCCATACAATAAATTTCAATTACTTACCATAAATAGTGTATCCTATCCCGATTTTGTAATGTTACATTAATCATTAATTCTAAGAAAAATACGGCTGCAGGATCATAAGAACCCTCACGTGATAAATTATTATTAGAATATAACTTTGTATCTCCAACTTTTATTGTTGTATTTCCATCTGCAATAAATTTTAACGCTTTCATCAAATGTTCGAGTGATTCTTGTTCCAATAATCTATAAAATAAAAATTTCAACAATATTTTATTAAAAAAAGAATCACATTTTCCATTATCTAACTTTAATTTCAAAACTTACCTTATATCAGCAAAAAGTTCTTCTAATCTACAGACTTTAACACAATCAACAGTACATCTACTAAATTCAATTTCTTCTCCCGTTGTAGGGGGTTCATAATTACTTTGTGATAATAAATATGAGGATAATGCTGATATAAATGATCCATCATTTTTTCTTTCTTGTTTTATCGTTGATGCTCCTTTTGGCTTCAATGGTATTGTCGTTGTACCCGCTAAGAAATCTTCAACTTTCAACATATTACTCGGTAATAATGAATTTATAAATAAATTCTTTAAAATTTCCAATATCTACAAAATTAATTATTAATAATGATGATGATGATAATAATTATCATCAAAACTACATAAATTTCTTACATATTTCCATCCATCTCTTAATATATTTCCATGTTCATTAGCAACAGCAAATAATACTACGGCTGCTAATTGTCCTTTATAATTCCTTCCAAATTGGACAGCTAATTGGCTAACAGTTATTTCAGTATCTTGTACTTTAACTGTTGAATTATTAGCTGTTCCATTACTATATTTTGATCCTAATAGTCCTGTCATTTTAGCTAATGACATTATAATATAATCAAATACATCATACAATTTATATGTTGCTGATAATTCTGCACATTGATGAAATCCTGTTATTGCTTTTTGTAGCGTTGCATCATCTGGTGCTGTACTAAATGCTAAAAGAAATAAAAATTGTTTTTTTAAAAAAAAAGTTTTTTGGATTATTCTTTATGTTAAAAGAGAACTAAAAATTTACCATATGAAATAGCTGCAACTGTAGGTTTCCACGCAGAAACAAACATGTCTTTATCGTATACAGACACATCACATATTATTAATGGGCCTAACGAATTAAAAGAATAATTAAATGTTTAGGTTTATAATCATTGATATTACGATATTAATAAATAATAATTTTTTATTACCGCTATTTTCAGCTCTCCTTAAAAGTTCTTTCCATGCATAATTAAATCCAAGTTGTCCTTCATGTTCTTCAGGCATGATAATTTCTCTTTTTTTAATAGCGTCATAAATAGCGTTCTAGATTACCAAAAACAAATGTTTTAGAAAGAAATTTTCCAAAAATACAATTAAATCGTCTAACTTACCAAATATTCAGGAGAAAAATCTTTATCATTATTAACTTTACGCAAATTCTTCATATAATCCTCTATTGTCATACGACGCTAAAATAGGTTTTTTTTTGAATATTTTTTTTTTAAAAAAAAAATTCTGCATTCATATTAAAGTAATGAGAAGTATCATACCCGAACTTGAGGATTATGTAAATCAGTATTTAACATAATAATAGAATATGCCAAAACAAACGTAGCTGTTTGAGTTTCAATATCAGCTATAAAAATTTTTGTGGTAAAACAATTATTATATTTTCTTCTTTTAAAAAAACTTATTTTAAGACACAAAACTGTAATCATACCTGGCCCAGTTTCAAAATATGTTATTGAAAATGTTTCCATAATTCTTTCGATTTGTTGCGATTCTCCAGGTAATCTAAAAGATTCCAACATTTCTCTTAATGCTTCATCAACCCTTTTCTATAATAAATAGAACTATTAGTCAATCATTTCTAAAAAATTATACGATTTATTTAACTTACCCCTTTAAAATCAAACAATTTAATAAATGCCCTTAATATATCAATATTTGCTGGTTTTGACAAATAGTCACCCAACAATTGTTTATTTAATCTAGGTGTAGTCTTTAAAAAAGAAGCGAGACTTGTATTTTTGTCAACAGAACGATCATTATATATAAGACCGTGTTCTAAAAATCAGATAAAGTAGTATCAATAAAAGATTAAAATAAATTTCTATTTCTATTTTTATACAACTTCTTACCTTCAAGAAATCGAAGACCAAGCTTTGGGTTTTCATTAAATTTTGCTGCTCCTTCGTTCAATATTTGTTTCTTTTGCTTTTTTCGCAAAAGTTCTTCTGCAGATTGATATGTCTTTTATATGAATTAAAATAAATAAAAAAAAAATACATTAAATTCAATATTAAAAAGAGAAGAAAAATCTTTTTAACATTATTATAACTCATTCTTAATACCGCAGGTCTTAATCCAAAATTATAATCTGTCGCTGTCAATTGATCCCAGGATAATCCGCGTGTAGATGATTTGTTGTTATTTTTCTATTTAAATAAAATGGAATATTTAATTCTATTCAAAATATTTGAATATTCTAATATATTAAGATAATCAAATACCTCAGGTTGTAATCTATCCACCATATGATTTACATACATTAAAAGAGCATCTAAGCACACAGCATGCGAATTACTTATAGAATATCCAGTAGAATCTGAGAACGAATTCTAATGAAAAAATTAAAATATCAAATACAATTACGTAATATTAATTATATTTAACAATCAGTCATTTAAAACACACACCTTACTCAAAAATTTAACAAGTTCCTCAAACAAGTCTACACAATCAATATTGCAATCATAATTCACCCATAAATCCACCATAAATGAGGGGTCTCTTGTAAAGTGTCCCAAAGATTCCACTAAAAGTTCTCTTACTTCACCAGTAGCAAAAATGTTTTCTCCACTTGAACGTAAATTGCGTTCACGACTTGTATTAGGTGCTGAAACACCTGATGCCTGTAGTGAGTCACCGGATCCATTTTCATTTGAAAATTCAGCATTAAATGCTGATATTAAACTATTTGCAGGTGGTGTTAACCTTTCAATCAAAAATGACAAATAAAGTTCTTGTTGTAATTTAAGATATGGACGAAGTGTTCCAAATACAGTTGATATAACACGAAGTGCAAGTGATAATAATGTCATATTATCGGTTCGTACAAGCTTAAAAAAAAGTAAATAAAGTGTCAGACTTATTTAATAATATAAATTTTTAAAAAGAAAAAGTTTTAATAATAAAATTTTCTAAGCTTACTTGAAATAAATACTTGCATAATTCATCAACTGCAAAATTACGTAAAGTTTCAAATCGTCCAATAGTACGACCACCAACTTCAAATGCAACATTTAGTATACTAAGTGCCATAAGTCTCATAGTATCAGTATGTTGATGATCATGTGGATTAAGTAAGGAAATAAGAACTCTCAGTAATTCTCTTATCGAAGGCAACCCGAAAGGCTTTGGATCTTAATAATAATAATAATAATAATAAATGTTAAATATAGCAACTTTTTAAACTAAATAAAAAAAAACTCACCTGTTTCTTTTTCATCTTCATTTAAGACTTCATTTTCTTGATCTAAATAATAATATCAAATAAGCATCAATGATTGTATTTATGTACTTAAAATGCATATCAAAATATCAAAATTAAATTACTATTATCTTTTTCCTGAATTAGATTAGATGGATTATTAATAACTTCTTCTCCTTTAATATCTAGTTCAACTAGTTCATCTTGTACATCGTCCAGTGTGGACAAATAATTATCGCCATTTTTTGCAGAAAGTGATAATGTGGGAGGATTTGGTGCTTCTGTGACATCATATTCTGAAGAAAGAGGAAGAAGAGGGGATTTTGGATCTGGTGGAGCCATACGCACTTGTGTGGCATCTTGCAAAGTGCTATTTACACCATCATCTTTTTGTGAGTATCCTGCTGCAGATTCTTCTTCCAATGATTTAAGTCTATGTTTAAAATTTTGAAATATGATTATTAATATATTCTAAGATCTGTTATAGATGTTAAATAAGGTGCCACTTTACCTCTCAAACATGGTTTGTACCATAACAATCATTGTATACTCAGCTGATCTGCGCAACATTTCTTAAGTAAAATTAAAACGTTAATAAAAGAAAAGAAAAGAAAAGAAAAGAAGGAAAAGAACATCAAAATAAAAAAATAAAATAAAATAAAATAAAATTAATAAAATAAAATAAAATAAAATAAAATAAAAATAATTTTCTTAAAAAGTATATAAAAACTTACCGCTTAATCTCATTTGACAACACATACTCAAACCAGTTTCCATCATTTCACAAAGAGCTTCATCACTGAGAACTTTACCCACTTCACAAGTTAAAGCCAACCTTAAAACATGTAAAATTTTCAATAATACAAATTCATCAGATACAGAATCACTTGATTCAAATTTACAATGAGTAGCAGCGGATGAAAGTTTTGACATTGCTATTGGTAATTTTGGTGAATTCATATTTAATATGCCATATGTTAAAAACTTTTCTAGACTTCCTAATGCAGTTGCTGTTATTGGTCCATTAGTGTCTCTTGATTTGATTACTTCCAGAAATGGTTCTAACAAAGTTTCAGCATCTATTACCCCCTCATCTATAAAATTAATAATTAATATTTTTTTTTTTTTCAAATCAAATATTTATTATTATAAAAATTAAATACCAGACAAATTGGAGATTTGCACCCTAAGTGTAGTAAATCCACTTAATAATGGACTTTCCTAAATGATATATATATATATTAATTAATTATTAATTAATACCTATACTAAATCACTCTAAAAGTAAAGTCTTACATTACCTTATTTCTATAACCAATTTCATTAACTGAAGTTCTGCCACCTCTCAACCCCATACTTATACCTAATCCACCCATATTCAAACCATTATCACTCATACCAGCCCACCTTGAATTCTTCCTCATTGCACTTGTAACTGCAATGATTTCTGCATGAACCAAATGTGACCAAGATAATTCACATGTTGCTAGTATTGTAGGTTTTTTTTCTTCATGATTTGTTTTCTTTGGTGATTCAAGAAGTCGTGTAAATGATTGATATTGTTGAGTATTAATGAATTGGTTATTATGAAATTGATTTATGGAGGATTTATCATTAGACTTTGTAGAAGCTGAAGGTTGTTTTTGATCATATGGAACTTTAAGATATGACATTTGTATAAATTAATTAAGTAAACGAAATTGGTTCAAAAAAAACCGAAATAAAATACAAATAAATAGGAGTTTACAGATGTGTTGGCATAGCGTGATTTGAGATTTTTTGCTAGTTATACAACAGGGAACATATTTCTGATTGGATCACAATCATGTGATTTGAACGTCATTTATATTGGCAATGCAATCAAACAACTTCTATTATAATGATAATTTCTTCTCTTGGGAGAATAATGTATAAATATATTGGATGTAGAAGAAAAGATACATGATATAAAAAAGATGTTTACGAATGAAAGAAAAGAATTTTCAAGGGAAGAATTATTTGATTTAAGATATAAAATACAACGAGTATTATATAATCAAAGAAATAGATTAATAAGAAAAGGAATAAATGCACAACATGAAGAGACGAAGATTGGAAGAAAGTGAAAGGAAACAACAATTAGCAAAAGACAAATCATTATTGACAAAACACAGAATAAATAGGATAGGATGGGATATGGAAGAAAGAGTTTTAGAACCAACAGCATGGAAATTAGCGGGGGTATCATCTGGAAGAATTGAGGATGTTAAAACAGAAGAACAAAGGAAAAAATATAACGAAATAATGTATAAAGCACCATGTATATTGAAAGAATGTACAGATGAGTTTCATAATTTTATAGTAGAATATTTTTTAGATATGGAATTTATAAATGAAGAATATAGGAAAATATTTGAAGAAATATTATTAGAGAAATATCGAGATAAAGTAAATAAGGTAATACAGAAAAAAATTGTAGATTTAGGAGAATCATTAAATGGAGAAATAATAGAAGAATTTGAAAAAAGGATAAAACAAATAGAATATAGTAGTATATTACCAGAAGTACGAGAAGGAAATGAAGAATATTATACAATCAACTAGCAATGTTAAACTGCGAACGTCGAAATTCATATATTTTTGTTATATTAAATGGCTATCGTCCATACTACAGCAAGTTGTGGAATTCGGCAAATAATAAAGAACAATCACATTCAGTTTTGTTCTCGATTGCTAAACCACTGACTTGATTCATTGACTGAAAGAGCAATATAATTATAGCTTCACAATCTTATTTTCTTAAAAGAATAAAAGAACTCCTCGTCCACCAAATTCATTTATTTTGTACCGTAAAGCAAAACAAAAGGATATTCTTGCAGAAAATGAAAAGACTGATCTCCTTTTATCGAAGTCACAATTAGCAAGTTGAGTCGAATTAGCGATGCTTAGACAAAAATCTTTTAAAAGATTACCATCGGGCATCATTTATAACTATACGAGATACCCAATTAGTCACGTGGAAAATTATCAAGTTCAATAATTCGAGATGTACAGTACGTAATCGCGCTTTTAATAATTCATGAACGCGTTAACGCAGATGAAGGATAATCATTATTACGATGATCATAACTATAAATGAGTTAGTAGAATAAAAATATGAAGTAGATGAAGAGATTATTTAACACAATGTCCGTGGATCAGACAAAATAGGCCTTATTAGCAGATTATATTATAGCATTTTTAATTTTAATTTTTTTTTTNTTTTTTTTTTTTAAAAAAAAAAATTTAATATGAAATGAAATTTCTTCCTTTCTTTTAATAATTAATGTAATAATCAAAATTTTTCTATTTAAGAATTTGTTTATCCAACAATCTATCAAGAATTTCTTGAAAAATTTCTATCCCAGCAGGATGACCTTTATATTCGGCAGCCAATTTTTTATATTCAGGAGTATCTTTCATTTCCTGAAAATTATCCACAATAAAATTTATAATGTCATCTTTAAGATCATTCCATTTCCAAGCTTCATTAAATAAAACACTCATAGCATTTTTATTAGTTAATCTTTTAAAAATTTCAACTCTAGCTTTTTGACGTAATTTTGTTAAAAGATATTTATCAGCTACCCTAAATATTTCAACAGATGGTACTAAATTAAATCTAACTTCATCCGTATAAATATATCTTAACATTTCCAAGAATACTACTTTAGAAATATCTGGTACATCTATAATAATATGTTCAATAGTAGTATCTGTTGAACCTAATTCTACATTATGTTTTGAAATTTCTGCCCATCTACCTTTAAAAAAACCAGAAAAATATTCTGAACGTTCTGATAATATAGATTTACTTGCATATACAACTCCATCTTTAACATTAAATAATACATCAGAATTTTCTGGAACATCCAATTGACGACTCCATGCTTCTGTAATATCTTTGGTTTCTGGTCTTGTCGTAAGAACCGAATTATACCCTTTTAATTCTAAATCAGAATTTACAAATGTTACTCCGATTGTAACTGGTGCATAATTTTTCATTTTTTCAAAGCTTTTCCCTAAAAAAAAAAAAAAAGAAATCAAATCCTTATTAAATGTTCTCATCATCATCAATCATCATTATCATCAAGTTATTTGTTTTACCTACCCCAAGATTTACCTCTTATAGAGTAATCATGAGTAGTCATTATATAGGATTTATTATATGAAGATGTTTTCATAAACAATGAAGCTTCAACGTTAGCTCTATCACTCCAGAATTGTGTTGAAATGGCTTCTTCAGGATTCGGGATAGCCGTTAAAAATACTAAACAACAATGTGAGTCCTCCGGATCATTCTAAAAAAAAAAAATAAGAACGAAAATAAATTATTTTGTTTCTTTTTTAAATAAGAACAATATATTTATCGTTTACCGGTTGATATTCAAGTTGCCAAAACATATTATCTGCTGTTGAAAAAATTGGTGAATAAAAACTTTTCCCTTCAATTTTTTTAAGGCATGGAATAGTAAATTCAAATGTTGCTTGTCCTTTGATTATTGACATAATGGAAACGCGTAATTTTTTTTATTGTTTTTTTTTTTTTGAGGTAGAGATTTAGATTTTAAAAAGGACACTATATATACTGATCCTAACTGCATACCCAAATTGGAAATAAATATTGCAGAGAATGTGCATAAATACATTACATTTTTATACAAAAAGATCTGCATCAAATCAAATAGAATCTAAGTAGAACCTTCTCAATGTTACAAATAATGTTAATTGAATTAATTTTCTAAATAGAAAATTTTAAACGGAATATTATAGTATACAATTCTGGAATAAGAAATATTAAAAATTGTAAAACTATAATTTCTTACATTTGATAAAATAATTAAAATTACAAATGATTTTTTTTTTCAATTACCGTACAGTCGGAGCAACTCTCTGCAATAGTATTGCAAAATTTCATTCGTAACTAATAATAATATTAATACAGAATAAGTAATCACATTATCACATCGATTAAAGACAAGGAACAGGAAAAAAAAGACTGAGAGGATCCAAGAAATATCCGCATTAATATTGATACATGTATTAACAATCTAAATGATTCAAGATTCTGGATGGACTTTTGACGAAGTCAGTCCAAGGAAATCATTGTTTATATCTTATTACCGTATAGCGTAACCATACAGTACTCCAGTGTTCGGCAAATGACTTGAAATGAACAAATGACTCAAATGACAAGTCATTTGTCATTTGTCATTTGCAACTCAAATGACCTGTCATTTAAGTCATTTGAAAAATATTAAATATTCTGAAAATTTTTATTAATTATTTTGTTTATTTTAATTAAGAAAACAAAAATATTAAAACAAAATTGGTTTAATATATATAATCAAAAAAGTTCCAAGATTTTTTAATCACGTGATTTTATTATTATTTTACAGGTTATTATTTGTTAATAATATTATTATAGACAGGATTATTTCACTTATAATTATTTCACTAATGATCATTTTATCCACACAGATAAAAAGTTAATTGATTTTGCAATAAAATATTTAATTGTAACACATGTAGTGGATCCCATTTTTCACCATTTTTATATATAATTGTTGTCTTTATTTAATCATAAGATGGCCATAATATTTATTTATGCATATAATTATATAATAAAATTATATATAATAAATAACATATCAGATATTATCACTTTAATAATTATGGTTGTGTTATTTATTATTTTCAGATTACAGTAAAAAATAAATAATTTGGTGAAATTGATTCTGTTTGTGATTATTTCGATTACGTCCTTCCTTTTTTGTACATCACGTGATTATAAATTGTCCAATAATCTTTAAATATTTTAATGACAAATGACCAAATGACAAAGGACGCAAATGACAGTCAAATGATACCCAATCATCTGGCATTTGTCATTTCGCGAATAATTCAAATGCCAAATGCCAAATGATGGGGTGTCATTTGACCAAATGACTCCTAATCCGAAAAATGGTCAAATGACCAGGTCATTTCCGAACACTGCAGTACTCCGGATCTTATTCAAGAAAGGTATGTTAAATTGAATAGTATCCCTGGGGTACCTGGGGTACTATATGGGGTTGAGTATTATGGTTACTGACCAGGGAATAACTTTAGCCAAATTTTGGCAAAAATTAACTTCAAAAATATCGAAATTTGCAGTTAAATAATACTAGAGATGCTCACTCGGTCCTCCGGTCTTAATCGGTCCTGACCGGTCTTTGGAAAATTTTTTGAAAAAGTAACGGGGTTAACGCCTCTAAATTTTTGTGGCGCAGTAGAATAGGTTAATCTGAAAAGTAGTAAAATTTGGTTTTAATCCAATCAGCCAATTCAAGGCTAGATAAGTTTTTATGACCGAAATCTACTTTTTCTCGGTCTTTAGCTAATTTGGTCTCTGCTAGCTTTAGAAAAGTAGAATAGAGACCATTTATCGGTCTTTGCCAATCCCACAAAATTTTCTACAAGACCGTCCAGGACTGAATAAGACCAAAAGACCAGATATCTTTCTCAACTTTTTGAATAAAGTGATTAATTCTTTAGTCAACGTAAATAATTTTTTTTTTTTTTTTTTTTTTTTTTTAATTCTGCCTTGTTCGTGAATACCTCATTTTATATCACGTGACACATATTCTTTGAATAAAAATGTACCTCAGGTTGCAAACCACGATTACAATATAATTCATAGAATTATAAAAGTGGTGTAAATTCAAAGGCAATATTATATACGTCAAGTTGAGTGACCCAATTATATTTTTGGTTTTATTATGTACATAAAGGGCTAAAGCAAGACGATAATTTTAAAGAAATAAAATTAATTCACGCCGAGTTTATTTAGGAATTACATATTATGGGATTTTCAAATTATGGTAATGAACTACGACGTTACGACGTTATGAATTATTACGATGGAATTTTATTTGTGATAATTTTACAATCATGACTATTACTTCCTCCTTTCAAACTAATTAATTTTACTTTTCTTTCTCCTCTTTATGAATAATAATTAATGTTCGTCATATTTAGTACTAATTGATTCATAAACGAACTCTCAAAAAAAAGTCCTTCTTCATTAGTGTGGATATAACGAAATATAATTCTGAACTTAGATAGTGTAGTCTATTATCATCAATTAAAAGACAATCGACTAGGCAAAATCTCAAGTTGTCTTGATTCAAAGGAATTTATTAAATAAATTTTTGTGCGTTTATAATTGATTTTCGTAGATTATGGGATCCGATTGCGATTGGATACAAGTATTTCATGTGATTATGTTACTGCACTTGCTGCGCGAGGTGGTACGTAAACAAATTAAAAATATCAAAAAAAACCCAAGATCATTTGCTTACCATAATAAGTTATATTGGTTATTTTAATTTACCATCTAACAAAGATCCGCATGAATACAAAGTATAACAGATAAATTAAAAATTGCTGTTATAAACACCAAATTAAATTTAAATGTTTAACCAACTACGCCATCCATCCATTCTCTCAGCCATTCATTATCTTCCATCCTTTCTATCATCCATTCCTCCATTTTCTCTTTTATTTCATCTTTATTTTTCTTCTTCTTTGTATTCTTAACTTTTTTAACCCATAAAACATTAACATTAGCTTTCTCATTTTTATTCTCACCCTTTATTTTTTTCTCATTTCTTTCATCTTTCTCTGCTTTCACACTATGATTATTAGCAAGTTTTTTTTTCCACCTTTCAAACCTTTCAAACCTTTCATAACATTGTAAACATTCTAATTTCAATACCCATGACTCTTGATAAATTAATTTTCTATTTTGTTCAAGTTCATTTAAATTATTTTGTCTATCTTGATCGTTTTTATTTTCGTTAAATGGAATCATGAAGGAGAAACTTGTTATTATTATCGTCATACATAAGATAAATAATGCGATGAAAATTATAAAATACGTTATTCCCGACATATTAAATATTTATTGTAAAAGTATTCCATATAAGAAGTAAAAAGAATGTATATAAAAAGCGAAGGAGGGTGAAAGAGTGGACAGAGTGGGAAATTTTTTTTACGCCAAAATTTCAATAAATAATAATGGGAAAATTATTTAATGATGATGTAAATATATAGGTATCGTAATACAAGATCCCGAAAACGGTACATCTTGCTGCGGTGATTATAAATCCATTCCTTTCGCAAATAGCTGATATCAGTCAGATATTTTATTTAATCATTTGAACATTACGATTTTACATGTATGCACTACTATAATGTGATTGTTAATTCGTGATTTTTGTAATTTTGCATACATTTTAAAACACATCCTCCCCAGTAAAAAATCAAAAAAAAAAAATTTGTTTAATCCAGCTGAAGAAAAAATATAATTCCCACCAAAAAAAAAAAAAATGTAATATGTATATATAATCCTTTTTCTATAACAAAAACAATACCACCAATAATAGGACAACTTTACAGTAAAATATTTCATCAACCTAATTAAGGTTCCTTAATATAATTATACCTCTTGCCACGATTTCCATTATCATACGCCACTTTTCTTGAAGATCTTTTATAATAAGGTACTTTCGTTGGTGAAATTTTCTCAGGAGTAGGAACAGGTTTTGCTCTCCTAAGATAATCTTTGATTAAAGGGACTAAACTTGAGAAAAACATGTCAAGTGTAAATGCAATAATGAATGCAATTGCTCCCGCGACGATTGCGTGAGCAATTGGTGAATCCTTGTAATCTTTAAGAAATTCTTGTAACATCATTTTTTCTTTTCTTTTTTTTTCAATAAGATTTGTTTTCGTAAAAAAGTAGAGTGAACTCAAGAAGTTTTATCTATTTTTTGAAGATAAAAAAACTGCTTTATGTTTGTGTTAGTCGTTAACTGTTATACAAGGAATTTTAAATAATAAAACCGAAAACTCACAGGATTTTTTTAATAATTTTTTTTTAGATGAGTAAAATTGTATGAAATGGATCAACAAAACACAAAAAAAATAGAATGCTTTTATAGCGGTTGATCAACAAATCCATGTTCTTTTATCTATTAATTAAATAAAGGTCGCTTGTATTTATAAGTAATATATGCCTCGTGGCGTTTCTTTATTTAGTATAATGATTTTACAAGTTTTACAGAAATAACAATATTGTTTAACAATAATGAACAAATAGATGATGTTCATGAGAGTAAATAATATATAATAGTATAATTAACAGCATATTTTATTAAAAAATAGGAAATCGATCTCGGGGACAAATTTGAGCCACTCGGAACTTCCGAATCCTTATTTGTACTAAATCAATTTTCAATTTTCTGTTAATACTTATTTATTTTAATTACTACTCAAATTATATTATAAAAAAACATCATTAATATTATTTTTTTATTATTATTTCTTTAGAAATAATTCAAAAAAAGAAAAAGAAAAAGAATTAAATGAAAAGCATTTATATTAATCTACTGAAAATCTCATAAAAAAAAATGAATGCTAATAAAGGTTATAATTTACATTCTATCATCATTGAACCTCCATTTTTATATATGGCCAATTTTATTGTTAATCTCTTATAGTACTAAGATTGTCTAAATTTAACCGGGATGATACAAACTAAAAATGTATCAAACATTTACGTCAGAAATTTAAAATGCCTTGCGTTATTATTATTATTATTTTCAGTTCCAGAAAATCAGATTATAAGATCGGCGGAGATAAGAGAGAAGTTTTTAGAAGACGTGGAAAATGACATCACACAACACGTAAGCGTCCTAAACTTCTATGGACCTGTGCTTCCCGATTATCCAATTTAAGCAGTAACACAAGAATATCCGAAACAAGCCTCAAATTAAGCGCTTCAGATTTTTTTTTAGTATGAAACAATTTTATACATGTTATATTAATATTTAAATTGCATATCATTAATAGTTATCATTTATTATTATTTTTAATAATATTTGTTGATTTCACATAACAACTTCTATATTTGAATTATTTATATTTATTTTTTTGTTTCATCACTATTTATCTTATTATTTAAATGCGCACACTTACGGTTTCTTTAATTCGAATACATTTGCATATCGGACTACCTATTAAAAGCAACTGGAATATTTTTTTTAATTCAAAAAAAAAAAAACAATAATTTATTTAATAAAACATTTTTTTATCGGAAATAAAATCAAGTGAATAAATAATTAATTAATACTTGATGGTACCAATAGCGAACGTACTAAATTTGGTACAAGTGCACAACAAGAAATCATACAAAAGGAAATTTCAAAATAATCCTTTTCGCTCAACTTTAAAACCTTTAAATCCTTTAAATCCTTTAAGAAGAATAAATTGAATCATTAAGAATATTACGCCAAATAATAATAACTTATGCGTTCGTTTAAATTCAAAATAGCATTCAAAGATTAATTTATCCAGGTAAATTTTGTAAAGTGATTTATATTTATAATTTCTATTAATTCATTAATAGTATGACTGCCTAATTCATAAAAATTTATCAATTATGTAATAACCTAATGAATTGATGATGATGAAACCAAAGATCTACTGTATTTCTAGCGAACATATTTGATGATAATATATTAATTATATAATAACCAAATTTAATACTTTCTTGACATTCTAAACACGACGAATTATCGGTTAAAAAAAATCAATACATAAAATAAATCGAAATTTTATTAAGTTATTATAATATACCAATAATTAATATTAACATGAAATAGAACACATTGAATCTCAGAATGCATAATGAATAAATGAATGAATATAAAGTATATGTATGTACAATGTACAGTATTCCGTATGTACAAATATAATGAATAATTATATAATACATTAAAATTAATAATCTGAAAGTTGATAATCACACTCCTTAAAATTATCTCTAAATTCCACCAATTTGATTCCTTTCTCCTTAATTTGATTCAATAAAATTAATTCTTTAATATTCCAAATTTTATCTAAACCACAAATTCCTAAATATTTCAAATTAAAATTCTTATTTTTAATATAATTTAAAATAATTTCAAGATGTTTTAATTCAAATTTTTGATTAAAATTTAAACTATTTAAATTAATTATTTGATTATTATAATAACAACCATTCAAAAATTTTAATAAACTAATCTCATTTACAGCTGTAACAAAAGAAATTTTAGTTATTGTATTTGATAAATTTTCTGCTAATTTAGTAAAAAATGATTCAATTATAAATGCATTTAAATATATATTAAGATTTTTGATTTTTAAATTTTTTAAATAAGGTAAAATTGATAAATTTATATGACAACCTGAATAAATATCTAATGTTTTAAGTTCTAAACCATATTGAATTATTGAATTCATAATTTCAACATTAATATTTTCAATTTTCAATCTTTGTAAATATTTTCCTAAATATTTAATAATTTTTGATGTAATATTACTTCCCCAAATATTTTTAATACTTAATTCTTTAAGTTTAAATGAAGCAAATTCAAAAATTTGACATAATTCTAATGTCATTCCATAACAATAAATGATTTCCAATGATTTTAAATTATGTAATTTAATTACATTTTGTAAAATACAATGTTGAAAATTAATATCATGAAATTTTAAGGAAATTAAAGAATTTTTTTGATATTCTAAAGATGAAAAAATATCATTTGATGATAATTTATAAAAACCATAAAAATTAAATTCTTTTAATTCATTTTGTTGTTTAATAATTGATGAAATTTCATTTGAATTATAATAAAGATCAATATCCATTAAATCTAATCTTTTAAGATTTTTACAATTTTTTAAAATTGTTTTTAAAAACTTATAAAAAATTTCATGAGTTTTATAATAACAAGAATTTAATCTTAAAATAATTAAATTAGAAATTTTAATATCATTAATAATAATACTATTAATATCAAATATATCTTGTTTAAGTAAATTTAAAGAAATTTCTAAATCTCTGATATAATTACTTTTTCTTAAAAACATATGATAAAATGTTGCTTTAATAAAAAGTGGCATATTATCATTTAAAGTATTATTATTATTAATATTATCATTATTATTAAAAGTTATTTTGATTTGTTGTCTATACCAATGGTCAATAGAATTATAAATTGAAAATTTTGAAAGTTTTTTAATATATTTTGGATATTCATAAATTAATTTAATTTCATTCCTTTGAAATAATTTTGAATTTAATTTTTTCTGAATATTATTCCGTTTAATTAAATAATTTCTTTCTTCTTCATTTAAACATAAAAGAAATGTATTTATGATTAAAGATTTATTTCCATCCTTTAATCGTGAAAAAGGATTTGCGTAAAGTAAAGGAATAGTAACTTTACTCCAAAATCTATTTACTAATAAACAATTAAATAATGTTGAACGATTATTTTGAAGATAATTTAAAATATGATAAATGCAATCGTCGGTTAAATATATAACAGTCATATTTAATTATTCAAGGGGGGGAGGGAAGTTCAAATTAAGCTAACTAACGAGCGTTAAATACATTTTTTTTTCGTGATGCGCAGTAAATTTTTGCTTATTTTGTGTAGAAAAAATCTGGTTCGTTCAGATGCAATTCCGAAATCCCCTTGAAAATGATCCAGCTTGTTAAAAAGTGCTCGGATGTCCCGAGATCCGGGTTAGTACCGGATCAAACATTTATTTATCCGGATCTATCAATTTTTTATCCGAGTTAAATTTCCTAATTAAACATGACAATAAAAATCAGGTATTTGGGACGCTAAGTAAAAAAATTGGGGAAAAAAATAGTAAGTAAAAAATAATCAAGTAAAAATAAAAAAGACTTCTTTTTCAATCCTCATGTCTATTCATATATAATGAACTGTAAGTTTTTTTTTCAATATTTCAACTATTATTCATTTACACTTACATGAAATATTAGTATGATAATCTATGGCATTGATTTTTTTTTTTGATACTTATTCATATGATAAGATTGTTATTGAGAGAACCAATATTGGGATTTCAAACATAATATACTTTACTTTTTATATTCAACCCCGAATAAAAATCAATTATTAATAATAATTAAAAATTTTCGGGTTAAATCGGATCAAAGATTTAAAAGTAAAATAATATTAGTTAATACAGTCGGCAGCCGTAGTGATTTTTTTTTTACATATTGCATATATAATTACCTGTTTGGAATTTTCAATGCATGCTTTCATCATACGACTCTTCATTTTTTCTTTCAACTATCACTTTTATTGAATAAAAGAATTTAAAATTTGAAAATCACATTTTTTAACAATGGATTTACTTAATCTACGAAAGATTTTTCTTGTTGAATCAGAACAATAGATGTTTATTGTTACATTATGTTAATTTGTAATTTAGTTATAATAAAGTTTTAATTTAAGTCATTTAGTTTTAAATTTATAGCGATATGCAACGCCTAAAGATGTTCCATTTATTTTTTCCAATTATGGAATTAATACGACCCAATAATATTACTTGGTTTTTGATCGTGAATGCCGTAAATATGGATTCGAATAAATATGGTAAGTAAAAAAAATATTCCCATATATCGAATCATAACTTTCCCCTATATCATTTGTAAAGATATAATTTTTTTTACGAGGTTCGTGTCACCATGTGTGATCGGCAATACATATGACTGGCTATCGGGGATCAAGCTTTTTATTTAATGTATAAAGAGGGTCCATGATTATTGTCAAGATAGGACATGTATAAAGTACCAAACATTGTTCAGCTAAAAAGAATTTTTAGTCGTGTATATGTCATGTATGGTTATACACGCACAAAGGACATTTGAATTCTAACTTAAAATATATAGTAGGATAAGGCATAATCATCAGATTTTAATTATATTTAGGCATTCCCCTACTATTTTTCTATGTTAGTTCGTGGGTTTATCTCAAGTTTTGTACCGTTCCCTTTGTCCCCCTGCTTATATCATATTTTTACGTATACGGTTCACCCTCGCTATAGTGAATCCCATGGGCTGAAGATTAAAATGTATAGTGAGAGATTCACTATACTGGGATCATTTTATCATATATAAAAAATCTGTACCCGAACTTTCTTCATTAATATAGCAAGTTATTCACTATATAAAAATTCGCTATAGGGAGGGTGAACTGTACAGTATCTACAATTTATACCACGTTTCCTAATAGTCGTCCGTGATTTTCCTTATTGATATTTTTATGAGTGATGTTTATTTAAAAAAGATAAGCTAAAAAAGTTATCAGTAGTCACGTTAGTCTCCGTGGTTATTTCACGGATCAGCCTTGATCTCATCAGTTAGTATTGATTTTTGATGGGATCATTTAAATAAAGCATACAATATAATTTCTTCCAAGTGAATATTGACAAAAAATTATAAATTTAATTTGAAGAATACTAAATTATTATAATTTTAACATTGATTTTATAGTTATGGAATATGTTAAATAATAGGTCACGGGAAAGCTTGATGATCATGGCGGAGCCGTGATGATAAAATCAATACTAACTAATAACAAGCCCCACAAAATATAAAAATCCTTCCCTCGTTGAAATATATATCTTCTAAAGATATATATCATTACAAAGTTAAAGAAAATATATAAAAATAAATTTTTTTTTTAAAAAAAAATTTTTGAATTATACATGATTTTTTTTCATATTTTAAGGTAAATTTAATTACGAAAAAAAAAATTTACCAAAGCTGAATCATCATGTATCTTTTAGGGAGTTGGAGCGGTTAATAAACCAATACAACCTGCCATACAAGCACCTTGAGCGACATTACAAGCAATAGCTGCAAATGGAGTACCAAGACCTCCAGTGACAGTTCCTAAAGAGAATAATTTACTTTTTGAATGAAATTTTAATAAACAAATAAATTTACGATTATTTTATAGATAATATACCAGCGACTAATCCAGCAGACGCATAACAAGAGACCCAACCAATGTTACATGCACTTTGACAAACTGCGTAAGCGATAGGACCAGCGTTAACGTTCGCTGGTTGAAAAGCAAAAATGACCATAATAAAAAGAATGATAAAAGACATTTTCGCCATTTTTTAGAAGTTTGTTTTAGCAAAATAAATAAAGTAAACTTTTTGAGTCTTTTGCACGAAAAACTGAAAAGAGAAAGGTTTTACAGGTTTGTGTCAAAAAAGAAAAACAAAACAATAATGTGCAAGCTTATATACGTACGTCTGAAATAATCAAAAAGCAGAAAATTATCATATGCGGTTTAACCAAAATCGGATAATGAGCCAGTGTTTGTTTTTCACTATGCGGCTGTGCCGCCCGTGCGTTACGCTTGCGCATAGTATTGCGCCTTCTGTAAAGAAAACGCGTGTAATAATAAGTTAAAAAGTGCATGATAAATACATATTGTTAAAAGGAAAAGCTTATTAAAGGCTAATGTAATGAAAGTCAATAAGGTCAGAATGATAATATATTTATTAGATAGGAGATGATAGGAGTCAAATGACCTGAGAAAATCATCCAATCATCAATCATAACTACAAATGGTCTCCAACTAAATGAATATGAGACTATGAAATGATATCTATGGGGATTATGAAATAATGTCTATAAGACTATAGATTCACATTCACATTGCTTATCAGACTATGATCTTTGAAATTTGAATGATGGATTGTATTGCATAATCACAGATTAGTGATACAAAATAAGTCAATATTAATATGATAAAAGTAAAGGTACGATCAGTTTCGCATGTTAAAAAATTCTCCGAAATAAAATTGAGTTATACTCTCATTAGCAGAGTTGGAAAGTTGTGACAGATTTGTAACGATTTGCCGTAATTTTCCAATATTTTAATAATTTTTTATATCACACGAACATTTTAATAAAAGTTCTTAGGATTTTCATTTGTTAAAGTATTAAATAATACTGAAAACTTTATTCATAAATAATTGTATACAAATGCGTATATCTAGATTCATCCCATATTCCTCTCTTTCATTATTATTAAAATGAGTTAATTCATTAGGGTGAAAAATTGGAGATCGGAAATCAACCATATCCGAAATATTCAAGTTTCCCTGTAAAAAAAAGTCGATCCGTTTTTTATATTCCATCTTTTTTTCCGTAAAAGGCTCATATTTCCGGAATTAATAACCTTATATCCCATTTTCCGTGAATGGATCCGTGAAAGGCTCATTTTTACGAAGTTTTTTCAGAAATAACGGATAAAATTTTTTATAGGGTTTAAGTTCAACTCGTCTGTATAAGGTGCTCAGCTGGAGATGCTTCTTTCAAGTTCGTTAAAAACTGTTTCTATGATATTTTTTACCATTTCAGAAGAAATTTTTTCTTGAGTGTGATAAAACTGTTCTGCAGTATTTGATAGATTAAATCGATAAATCTTTGCCAATCTTTTTAATATATCCACTTTAATTGAGTTCGGCGTTTTCATTCCAAAGATGAAAACATTCGTTCACATGCTGCAGAACTAATTGTTAATCGTTGCAGATGATTTGGCTTGACTTCACATGTATTTCCCCACATTAATGGTGTATCACTTCCAATTGAATATGGAGCTATATAGGGGTTTTAGGCCGTTTAGCTTTCCATTTACAATACGTTTTTGATTTTTATAATGACTAATCAAAAACCTGATTGTTTAAATTAAATTTTTATGATTTACATTTTAATTATAATTTGCCGATTTACAACTTTAATAATTACGGTTTACAGCATAATTTACGTATTACAACTTTAATACGGCACGTTATAACTTTAAGCCGTAGTTGCAAATCAGGGTTGCAACCCAAGTTGTAATCCAAAATGCTTACGACAGGCAACTTTAACTCTCATCATTATATATATATGTATTATTTTGAAAATATTTTACTGAATGCACAGTAGTATTGTACTTAACATTATGTTCCGTATAACGTAAACCGTGCGGATTATTTATGCCTAAAATTATGAGCTGGCGTTCTTTTATACCTAAATAACATCAATGAAAGCGAAATTATTTTACATCGCCTTTCGTAATGTGGCGCGAAATCACGTGTATAAATTACAGTAAAAAATGTGGCAATTTATTTTTTTGACAGAGTTAAAATCGTAACGACGTCACGTGCTAATTAACGCACAGTATTGTACGGGTCTTCACAAAAAACGTGATTGAGATTGAGATTGAGATTTCATATAGAATTTTCAATCTTAATATGTGACCCCCATTATGCTCCGCATAATGCGGATTATTTATGCATAAAATTATAAGCTGGCGTTCTTTTAAAATAACTGAAAGCGAAATTATTTTACATCGCGAAATCACGTGTATAAAAATTACTGTAAAAAATGTGGCAATTTTTATTTTTGGAGTTAAAAATCGTCATGACGTCACGTCGTCACACGCACAGTAGTATTTTACTTAACATGTTTCGCATAATGCGGATTATTTATGCATAAAATTATAAGCTGGCGTTCTTTTTATACCTAAATAACAATTTATCATTGAAAGCGACATCGCCTTTCGTGATACGCGAAACCCACGTGTATAAAATTATAGTAAAAAATGTGGCAATTTTATTTTTTTTTGACAGAGTTAAAAAAATCGGCACGACTTCACGTGCTAAACAACGCATACGCATTCATTCACGTAACAATAAATCACTATTCTTAATTGTAATAATTTCAACACCATTCTCCTTAATTTCATTTAAAAGTTGATTACCATATTCATCATTTCCAAGCCAAAAAGAACATGATCTAATACCTAAATATTTTAAAGATTTCTTTTTTTTAACATGAACAAGAATTTTTTCAAGTAAATTATTTTTTAAATAAAAATCTAAATTTAAATTAATTAAATTTACTCTACAATTAATTAAAAAATTATTCAAACCAATAGGAGTAATACAATTATAATTATTATTTAAAAAAGTAAAAAGTGAATTAGAAAATTTTTTTTCTATAGTAAAACTATATAAAGTATCAGGTAAATTTTCAGCCAAAATTTTTAAAATATGATCATCTAATAATAAATTATGTTGATAATAAATAGTAAGTTGTTCAATTTTCATAATTTTAAAATATTGATAAGAATTAAAAGGCATATTTCTATTAGTACTTAATACAATTTTTAAAATTTTAAGATTAAAACAATGACGAGAAATAATTCTTAATGATACATAAGATATTTGATCAATTGATAAATTAATTAAATTATTTCCTAATCTACGAATTAAAGATAAATCGAATAAATTAATTTTACCATTATTATGTAAAATTAATTCTTTTAATTTTAAAGAAGATTTTAATAAGATTTTACTATTACGATAAGTTAAACCTCTACAATTATTAAATTCCAATCTTTCCAAATTTTTACAATTTGATATAACTTCAAAAGTTTCATGATTAATATTATGAATTGAATTTGTAAAATTAATTGAATTAAGTGTATTCCTTTTTGAATCTATTATTCTATTAACATCACATGAAAAGAAATTTGGATTTATTAAATGAATATTATTAAGATTTTCTTGATTTTGAATTAATTCATTAATTGAATTTTTTAAAATATTAGAATTAAGATAAGAAAAAAAAGTAATTTTTAAATCTTTAATATTAAAACAATTTTTTGTTATAATAGAAATAATATCATAAAGTAAACCCTCCTTTGAATCATTTAAATCTTTTTTTGTAATAATTAAATTTAAAGAAGATAAATTAATATAATTGGATGAATTTTTTTTAAAAAGATATAAATTACAAAAAGATTCATCAAATAATTTTGAATTAATAATTAATTCTTTACAATTTTTCATTTTTCTTAAAAATAAATGAAAAAGAATTTTTTGTAATAATAAATGTTTTTTCCTATCCAATTGATTAATATAATCATTATATTCTAAATAAACCAAATCTTCATTTAAATTACCAAGTTGATAAATTAACCAACATTCTATAGGGAGCGTTAAATCTGTAAATTTTTCTAAATATTTAGCATAATCAAATAATGGAATTGAATCTTCTAAAATTTCTATTGAATTTTGTTGTAAATAATCTTTTTCAATTTCATCTAGACAAGAAAGATATATTCTTATTAAACAATAATTTTGTTTTAAATCATTTACAGCGGAAAATGGATCTTTATAAAGAATAGGTATAATTAATCTACATAAGAATCGATTAACCAATAGACAATTGTAAAGTGTTTTTGTATCATCTTTGCTAACATGTTTAAAAATTTCATAAAAACAATCTTCTGGCAAAGTACATATGAACATTTTTTTTTTTTTTTCGTCTCGAAAGTAAGGAAAAATTGTACGATAATTATTGTACCGATTATAGAAGCAATTTATACAATTTTTGGATAATTTATCACGAATGTTGTGTACCCGAACTTAAAAAAGGTACACCATTACACTAAAAATTTTTTTTTTTTTTTTTTTTTTTAAAAAAAAAAAAGGAAAAGAATTGTTCAAATTGTCTTTATTATTTATTATACAGGAAATCAAATAATATCTATTCAATGATATTGTCTAGTATTATAAAATTATTATATCTATATATTTATTATATTTATATATTTATATTAAATATTAAAACAAAAAATGAACTAAGAATAAAGAGTAGAAGTGATTAATGATTATTACAACGAAGATAAATTGTTGCATGTAGATAGATTATTACATTATTCGAATTTCCTTTTATTTCCCTCAAACTCTTAGTTTCATTTTTCATCCTCCTCATTCTTATTTCTCTCATCATTCGAACTTTTCTCTGTTCTCCCATCTGGATTTTGATCATTTACTACACCATCATCATCTTCATCTTCATCATCATCTTCATGATCATGTACTCCCCTTTCCTCATCATTTTCTCTTCTTTTACTAGTACAACATATAAAAATACAACATAAAAACAAAACCACCAAAGCTATTGCAAGAGCGCATAATCCACTTAATATGTAGTTTAAGACTATATAACCAATTTCTTTTCCTTTAGTCAATTCGCCTACTTCGGTTGAACTGACTTTAATACCGAAAATCTTTATATCTACTGTTTCACATGATGCAAGACTCGGTTGTATGATAAGAATATTAATCATACATAATAAAAATGAAAATAATAATTTAATGTTTTTTACGACCATATTTTCTTTTTTTTTTGGTAAAAGAAAAAATGTTAATATTTTAATATTTACAAGTTTAAGTTATATTGTTGTTATATTAAATGTTAAGAGTGTGAATATTATTTGTGATGTATCACTATCTCTTTAATATTATTATAAACGTTCTTTTTTTTATTTTATTTCAAATTATAAGGCATTTAAACGCATTGAAGCATTGAATTCAGGAAATAATGAACATTTTTATGTGATTTTAGTGTATTACAATAATGCTACAAAAGTAATTCATATAAAGACAAGATAATCACTGTGTTTTTGTATTGCGTAACCTTTTAAGGCCAAGAGTTTTTTAATGTGGAATTCCGAAGCCGTTATTTTTGTTAATAGGAATTTCTAAGGACCTTCCTTTTTTGAATTTGAATTACAAGTATTTTGAAAGGAGAATTTTTTTTTTTCTTCCATTTTTGCCAAATAAAGTCATTTAATAATGTTTATTATAAATTATATCAGTTAATTTTTACCAAATTTTATTGTCCTTTTTTTTCGTCATTTATTCTATAAGGCTTTTTATCCTTTCTTTAAGGAACTTTCTACGGATTATACCGCTACAAATTATCATAATTCTTTCATCATGAAAAATTCCAATCCATACTGTATTTAGTAAAGAGAATTATAATAATCCTTTGTAAAAGTTACTAAAAATAAACAAATTATAATGAAATTTTTTGAGAAATCTATGCTCGGAGCCCGGGATATATTATTATTTCATTGAATATAATTAATTTGGTTGCAAGTTCCGCACTCGTATGTAGAGTTACCATCTAACAAGTAATTAATACGGAATAAGGCAAACAAGAAAAAAAAAAAAGATTAGTGGCTCAAACCCAATAATTTATTGCTAAACCATATTCGTAGGGTGTAATGACCGATCAATTTCTAATTATATAATTGTTTTATCATAAATATCTATTTTTAGTAAATTCGTAGTTTCGTACACTTTTCTTTGGCAGCACAGTTTTCGAAGTTAGGAGTTTTCATCGAAATTTTTTTTTTTTTTTTTTTTAAAAAAAAAAAAATGCAAGCAGTAAATCATAAACGGCATATGATACAATTTGTTAACATTTTAACTATTATTCTTGATTCCTTGATAATCAATCTTTTCCTTTTTCTCAAATTTGAATAAAAAATAAATAAATAAATAAATAAAAATATAATGAATATATTAAATATATTTTTTATGATTACAAATTTAATATTAAGAAAATTAATTTTATTATTCATTACGGCAGATGAGAAAATTATTTGTCACGTGACAGTCGTGACCACAGAGTTATGAGGTCATGGTTCGGATTTTTGATCGGGTTTTGAGTTGATAAAAGATTGGCTGACGGGATTCACGGGAATGTGTAACCCGTACAGCGATCCGATTTTTGCGAATTTTTTGATCGCAATTTAAAAATAAGCAAAAAAACGAAAGGTGTTAATTGGAAATTTTTAGGATCAGTGATCAATCAATTCAATTATAATTTTGATCACATGTTTGGATTGATTAACGGATTTTGCAATCAAAAAAATTCGAACGATCAGGCGTCATTCGCGTCATGCACGTCACAATCGTCACATGTCTCACTTTTTGACGTTATCATGATATATTCTTCATATTGCAAAAATAATTGTGTTAGTTCTAGATTACCTAATCTTTTGATAAATGATAGTGTTTGTTTATATCCTTCATATTGCAATAATAATTGTGTTGACATCTTTTAATAAATGATTGTGTTTGTTTATATCCTTCATATTGCATGTTAGTTTTAGATTACCTAATCTTTTGATAATCCCTAATGACGTTACATTATCTTGGATGCACGTCAATCTAAAAAACATTGAACTGTGATGACTGATGATATATATATATAATCATTCCAAATTATCCATATTTTTGTAAAAAACTGTGGAATATAAAACACGGATCAATCATTTTACAGTGAAACAGGGAAATAAAATAATTCTTACAACCCTGTGTTAAAAGTGAACTGGCAAAGATTACCGTACTTTTCGTACTTTTATATTAATTTTGTGACATTTTTTATGCACAAAATAGAAATTATCAAATGTTGTACTAACTTATGGGCACTCGATAAATCACTTACTTGGATATCATGTTAATCTATCCGATCCAGATTAACCAATAAATAATATTCTCTATTATCGCTATCTACTGATAATTCTGTATCTCATGTCTAGTAAGTAAACTTTAACATATTTTATTAACGTATGCACATATAAATGGTTGATTTTAAGAGGTAACTTTTTTTGGGGATCGTAATGATCTCTTTTTTTTTCGCGTACAAATAATCCGTAACCGAGTTACAAGATAAACTTTGGTTAGTATGCTACAGATCGATATAATAAACAGTAAGGATTTTGCTTACTAATTTTTAAAAATCAATTCTTGGCAAATTTACGTGATATGCGGAATATCACGTGATCATCACTGATTTTGTTAATATGTTTACTCATTGGAACAATGGTAATGCATATAACACGTGATCTAATTTAAATCCTTTACTTATTTAGTTTTTACATCATTTTTAATTAAAAAAGTCTTGGCAACCTCCTTTCGTTTCTTCTAATCTTGATGATCTTATATATAAATAAAATCCAATCATCATGACGAAATTTCTTTTCAGAAACCTCTTTTTATGTGCATATGTGCATCTTATATATATACTCCTTCCTTTTCTCACGTTTCTTACCAAAAGTAATTTTAATATTTTTTTTTAAAAAAAAAAAAAAAAAAAATTCCAATAATGTCTTTAACAATTTTAAGAAATAAATCTTTGAATCTATGCGTTTTATTAAACGTAATATCACTTTTTTTCATTCTCCCGAGCACCGTCATATGCGATGGTGATGTTGATAATATGAGAAATGTGACTAATGATAACAATAATCATGCAATTACCACAAGTGAAACAAAAGAAGAAAAACAAGAAGAACTTGTTGATAATACAATTGTACAGGTTTCTGTAGCTATCATGTACATTTTATTTGGAATTATTCTTTTTGTAATAATCAAAACTATAGTAGATAGAAGAAAAAGAAAGAATGCTAGAAAAAATGCTATTAATGATCTAGAAATGGGTTCTGATTTGAAAAAGGGTTACGATTTGAAAATGGGTTATTATTATGAAAAGGATGATGATTTAAAAAAGGACATGAAAAATGAAATTATCAAACCTCCTCCTGCCGTAATTCCTTTTACAAAAAAATAGATTTTTTTTTTTTCTAGAAACTTTTAATTTTTTTTTTTTTATACCGTATTATACGATAATTAAGCAAAAAAAATACATTGTTTTTTAAAGAAATTGATTTTTTTTATAGTTTAACATTTCTAAGATTATTATGTAATTCAATTTTAACTTATAAATGATAAATTAACAACAATGTAATTGTTTTTTAATAAATTTTAGTCGTGGCTAAAAAAACCTAGAAAAGTAAATGGCAAAATCTTGTACGTCATTTTAACATCACTTGAGGTTATGACATATTACGATTTACGACATGATTTTCTCATCACCTGATGTTACACCTTTAAATGTATTCTAAATGTAGTTATTATCATATTATTTTTATTACATTATATATCATATATATCACATATATACTATACTAACAAATATCCAATACCTAATATTATTTATATTAAAAAATATATATAATTAAAATATAAAATATTTCTATATTTTTTTTACTTTTTAAAAAGTATTAAAATTCAACATTAAATAAGTTATATATTAAAATTCTTATATGTGTAAAATATTAAGATTTAAGATATTTATTGTTTAGTCAATATAAACAATTTTATAAGAATTTTATAATGCTTAATTTTGAGAAAATTTTATATAAAATTGATTTTATAGTAAAGCTATGTCTTGTTAAAATCTAAAATCTGAAATTATCTTCAATAGTAAACAATTTAACTTACCTTAATAGCCAAAATTATATTCAAAATTATTTGCTATACGCTTATTTTTCTGATGGTAGAGTCTGGAATTGTGCAGATGAAATGGCGCAGTACTTTCAGAATAATCTAATCAATTTACTGCATGTAATGCAGAATGCACTTTAAAATAAAACTTGTGCTTTATTAATATGTTTGAAAATACACATGCAAAACATACTAATTTTTTCTGATGGTAGAGTCTAAACACGCTGTCGCAACACTTAGTAAATGATTTACCTAACAGTATCTTACAAAAATGTCACAAAAAAATCATATAGTTTTTTTTGTTATATGCGTCACACCCTTTCTTGTTTCCATTTTTATAAGTATCTGGGAATAGAATTTTTTCAAGATATAAAATCCTATTTGTTACACATTATTTGTCATATAGTTAATTTTTTAATTTCTTAATGCTGGCTGTTTTATGACATTTTTATAGGGAATACTAGAACGCTAGGCCACTAGAGTAGTTTTAGCAAGTTATATGATTTTTATTAAAGAGAGCTGTTCAAAATCCTGACAATCAGAATCCTGCTACAACAAAAACCTAACGCTCACAATCCCATAATTCTGAAACTTCAGAATCTCATAATCATATTATCTGACATTTATTATTCCAAAACTATCCTCCTAGTAATTGAAATATAATGACATAATATAGAAATTCTAAAAAATGATTTATTAAAATCTTTAATCAGTATATTAAATAAATAAAAAAATTATTATATCTTTATGATGCAATATTTAAATTTTTATTGAATTTAAAAGTATGTTTTTTTTTAAGCAATATAAAAATTATATAAGAGAAATTATAAAAGCAAAAAAAAAAAAAATTACTAGAGAAATTATTAGAAAGGAACAGTAAGATAAACAAAGAAAAGTACAAATAAATTTTGAAGGTAGGTTATACTACTATATAACATTCTGGACAACATATGCTTTTAACACCAGACATTTTACTGAATTTTGATTTTTATAAATAAACCACTTAAAGAATTCAAAACTGAAAAATATAATTCTAAAGAAAACAAACCTAAAGATAAGTTGTACTGGGTCAGTTTTCATTTTCAGCATTCAAATAAGATTTATATGTAGAATATGTAAAATAAAATAATAATAATCTATATTAATATTTACTACTTAAGTAACATAACAATAAAATTTGCTTACTAAATGCAAAAATATTCTCTTTCTTCTAATTGACTTATTGATAATGTTTATATAAATTTTCAAAAGTATATGGACTGTATAATAATACATACAAATTAATTTCTTGTTATTTTTGACCTTATATTATAAAACAAGAGTTAAAGAACAATCCTATTAGGCAAAATTTCATTGATACACTATTGCTGAGCTAGGACATATATAGTTACTAATATCAGGCAGCATTATTGTAAAAAATTTTTTCTGATGGCCTGTCAATATATGTGATAAAAAAACAGATAAATTATTTCGTATCCTCTATTTTAAGCAAATATTTTAACTCTTTTAATTCCTTGTTTAAATCTTTTACAATATCCGTCATTTTGCTCCATCCAAAGTCAATCCACCATACATAAGAAGTTGAATCCTCATTCTTTCTCTTTATTATGATATTTTCTAATCTAATGTCTCTATGCTTCACTCTTTTCGAATGTAATTTCTGTAAGCCTTTAATGGCTAACTGCTTTTCTTTTTTTGTGATATTATCTTTTATATCCGCAAAAGTTTTTTCAGTAAGAGATGTAAGAATAAAGATAAATGCCTCATAGAGAACTTTAAATTTTAGAAGTCTTGGTATGTAAATAGGACCCCGGACAATTATAATTAAGGTCATATCTTCTATACTAAAAATTTACCCTTGTCATCCTGAACTTACTTTTAAAGCTATAGATACAAAAATTTGTAATAATAATTGCCACCCTATTATCTATAATTTTGTTACTTAAAAGTAATATTTAATAATAGTAATTTTTATTTTTTTGTATATTTCTATAGTGAAAAAGTGTATATTTTTTTGCCAAATTTTGCCTGTGTAATAATACTTATCTCAAATTCTAATCAGTAGATTCACAAGATTTTGGTATCAAAAGATTATTCTCTTCAAAAGAAACATTTTTTTCTATGGTAAAAAATAATATTAACTTAATAAAATTACATGTTAAAAGAAAAATAAAGTTTAAAACATAGTAAGATATGACCTCAATTATAATTATCCAGGATCCTATGTAAATACCTTGAATTTCTTTAAGAGGTCCAATGTATATTTTGATTTCATTAAGAAGTTCTTTTAATTTTTTCTCATCTTTATATAGAGCGACCATCTTAAAAGTACCTGTTTTTCTATCAAGTATTATTTTAAAAATACTTCCTATTCGACCACTTCCCAACATATTTCTAAAGTTAAACCAGTTACGATCATAATTTTTCATATGTTTAAGTAATAGATCTTCTTTAGTTTCTTTTAATTCAGTATTATTTCCAATAGTATTGCTTTTACTTTAAGTTCAAGAACTAATTTCTAAACCTTCTCCAATAATGTATGGTGAAAATCTAGAATTATGTGATGAATTATAATCACGGTTTTTATTTTTCTAATTTTTCTTATCAGGTAGAGGTAGTAGAGGTGGATCATCTTGATTGTCTGAACTCTCATCATCACTATCATTAGGTGGATTAGAATGAGCAATTGGATTTAATAAAGATAAATTTTCAAAATATCATAAACACTCCCAAAACGAAGTTTGATCAGATGTATGTAATTGATTAATTGAAACTGCAGAAGAAATTAAAAAAATACTTGGATTTTCAGGTTTACGACACATAAACCATATTTGATTGAGTGTTATAATTATACCATATCGACAGTCATTAATCACCATGTATCCAAATCCTTGATAAATAATTCTTTTTAAGTTGTTGTATTTAGTATCATTTTTTGTATAGTGATCCTTGATTTCTCTTGCTAAATTATATATAGAATACAATTTACTTTCATTGCCATCATTTGAAAGATTATTTTCATCAATAATTCCTTATATGATATCACTCATAAGTTGATTCCAACTGTTGCTAATAAATTTATTCCATCTGCATTTATAGAACGAAGTATTCTAGGATCTGAACCTCCAATACGTACAATATCTGGTTCTCCCTTAACCATAGCAGCTTGACTATTTCTGCACCACATTTGTGAATTTTGTAAAGACATTCTTTGATCATTGACTTTACCAACCCTGTAAAAAATCTAATCCGTGTTTTATCTTTCCGTGAATGTATCATTTTCATGGAATTTATAGCCTTAAATCATGGAAATTTTCATCTCGCTAACACGGATATCCGTGAATGTATCATTTTCACAGAATTTTTACAAAAGACACGGAGAAATAATGGAAATATTCAAATAAAAATTTTTTATAGGGCAATTACTTCCATAAATAGATCAACTGTTGTTTCTTCTGAATTATGGTTAAGTGATCTAATTTATAATTATAAAACTTACAAATTACTACATCAATTGATAATGAAGCATTAAATGCCTCACTAAGAAAAGTATTCCATAGTTCTACCAGATTATTTGGCACTCTTCGTGAAGCTGCTTTAACTGTGGATTTTGTTTCAATCTTAATAAAAAAAAGACGAGGAATAATTGTTCTAAAAAGTTCTTGCTCAGTGATAATTAAATCTTTGATAACGCAAATGTGTTTTTTGGGCAGGTTTAATGATAAGAAGCAGGTAAAAAAAGCACAAAAATAAGTAAATATTCGGTATTATTGGCAAATATAATACAGTGTGAGCAAAAATAAAAGAATATATTAGAAGGTATCAATAAGTCTTTATTATGAAGGTAAGTAAAAACTTTTTCTGTCTCACCTTTCTTATCAGGATTATCATTAGCGGTAGTAGAAGCGGTACTTGATATGATTGCTTTATAGATTTTAATAGTGTTATCACTAATTTTGTTTGAAGTGATAACTAATGTCAGAGATATTAAGCTGATTAGTTGTGGCAAATAAAAAGTTAAACAGTCAAAATTATAGGTGTTTCAATAATATTGTAACAAAATATATATGTATCACTAATAATTCCCAATAGAAAATTAGCAATGAAAGTGTAATTCTGGTAAATAATGTAAGAGTTTCTTAAGGATAAAAATCTATCAAACAAATAACAATAAAACACAAAAGTGAAATAAGTAAAGCACACGAGGAGTTCAATACTGTAAAAAAAAACTAACAATCAAATCATACAAAAAAAATAATACTTCAAATAACTCTCTGTTAGATTAACTCAGGTATTAACAACCTTTATCTGAGTCAACAACCTTTATTCAAAAGAAAATATTGCCCTACATTTTCATACATGACAGTTTGAACTTATTAATATTATTCTATTATACTGTAAAAACCTTTCTATTACCATTTTGTATAAGTTCTATATGTATATATGATTCATCAACTATGTAAATTTCAAGAAACTTCTCTAGCTAACTAATAAAGTAATTTTACTAATGTTATAATAAATAAACTGATACTTATAATTGAATATTTATGAGTCAAAAGCAATAAAATGTAATTAATATAATTAATGTAAGTAATTAATAAACTAAAATATATTATAAAAAATATAAGCATCTTCACGTGCTGAATTCTTAATGTATCATACTGGTGATATGAAAATAAGATGTAATGGTAACATCAGTTGCTAATCTCACGATTTATGCTGTAGATTAGAAATTATTCAACCTTGGGAAACTTCTCATAAAAATTAGCTAAGATCGAAAACTTCTATATAATCTGTGGTAGGAGTAATTTATATTGGCGGTGATCTTGTAAACATGATTTATTTCGTATTTGTAGAAAATGGAATTTTGTAGCTGAATAAATTTTCACTAACATTTCGGGCTCTGAATTTTTAATATATCACGATTCAGTCATGATCGTCTGACTTATTTGTGCAACAATAGATTTCTTATATAAACCCCAAATCCTATGCAAATTTTTCTTTTTTCTGACTCGACTGCACATTTGTCTCACTATATTTTTATTTGAAATGGCAAATCTGTCAGTTGAACAAGTCGAAGCTTTGAGCCCAACTGAGCTTGTTAATTATTTAAACCTCAATAAGGATGGGTTATTTCTCAGGGATGATCATATTAAAACCCTTGAAAGCCTAGAACTTGCTGGTTCAAATTTTCTCAAGTTGACTACACAAAAGCTTACCAATCATCCTTATAACTTTCCAGAAGGTCCAGTAGAAAGAATTCAAGATTTCATCTCTCGATTGAATAGTCAAAGTAAGTTCTATCATAAAATAGTTATCGTTTGTACACCTCGCGTATTATTCAATAGACGTCTTTCGTTGCAGTATTTTCGTTATTTATTTACTCCCATTTTTTTGTTTTTTAGGGCTTCTAAATTTAGAAGAATATTTATCAAATACTATTCCATATATCATATATTCCCCGCATGGTACTATGAGTAGATCTTCTACAAAGGTATCAGGAGATTTTCCGACTGAAGTGAGACTTTGGGGTGAATTTTTTAATAATGTGAATAGTCATACATTTGATCAAGAAAAAAAATTCCAAAGACCAACATTTGTTAACAATTTCATTAAAACATACACTACCCTCCCAAAAGTATCCGGTCAACCAATAAAGATCATATTTTATTAATAATAACTAACATTTAGTTGGCCATCCATTGTTTTTAATGCATGCTTCAATTCAGCGTGGCATGCTCTCAATTAAATTAATGTAAGTTTCAGATGGAATTCTTTCACACTCTTCTTTTAGCTGTTATAAATCCAGTCGTGTCCTAAAATTTCCAAAAAGTATTGTTACAAACATGATTGTTTGATACAAAAATTTTAATACTGATAGCTTCATGTCCTTTCCAAAGGCCAGTAATTTGCCTACGCTCACTCAATTCACTAGTTTTTTCATTTTAAAAGTAGCTGAATGGCGCAGTAACAAAAAAAAAGCAAAGTTCGGTGTTAGCAAAATTGAGGCGTTATTATTTTTTATTGCCAAATCTGGTACAAGTATCATAATACAATAAAAATACATTCATTTTAATCGTTAGAACCAGGGGAATTGTTTTTTTTAAAATAAAATAATACTTTATATATTCAATCTTGAGAAAATCAAGTTGAGCTTGGCCGGATACTTTTGGGAGGGTAGTAGGACCCCGAACAATATATAAATAGGTTAGATTTATATTTGCATAACGGTCATAAGAAATTTTACCCCCATGTGAGATTTTTATTTGCTTAACCAATAGTTAAATTTTAAATTGGTCAGATTTCTAGATGCGTAACAAAATATGAATTTAACTAAACTCGGTTATGAGTTTGCGTAGCAAATACCTAATCTGGCAATTATCATATTTTATATATATTAAATAATAAAAATAGTATAAAAAAATGTTTCTTCGTTTCTTTATGCATATTATCTTTGTCTTTGCATATTATCATTATCTATACATATTCTTTACACATTATCGTTATCATCTTTGCATATTTGTTATCTTTTATTTTAATATACACACATTTTTTATGCACATTATGGGTGGCTGGAAATACTCAAAACAACGTTTACAAAGACATCCATTTGTTGCTAAAGTTGTACGTGCTAAAAAGGTAATCTGCATATGTGGAGTTGTAATAAAACTTAATAGGAAATATGACGAAGATTACATTAACCACCATGCAAATGGTCCGAGATGTAAACGAAATGAACAAAAAAGTATTTTATGCATTTTTAATCCTACAACAACTGATAAAAAAGATGACGATGATGTAAATTCAGATGATGATTGGAATGATTGGGAAAGTGAGGTAGAAGATGCAATGGATGATGACGATATTATTACAGTAGATGAAAATGAGGATGGAATTAATGAAAAAGAAAATGCTAATATAGAGATTATTAATCCAGCAACTAATCAAACTGGTAGAAAAAGAAAGCCATGTTTAGGATTGCGTTCAGATTTGATTGCAAAATATGTTGATAGAACACCTGCATGTTATGGTGGAGCTCGTCATGTTGAAATAATTGCTAAGGAAATATATCCTGGAAAATTTCCTCATAAGTTTACAAGAAAAAAACTTAAGCCATTTCAGAAACGTGCATTAAATAAAAAAATTTATGCAGAATCTCAATGGCGTGTCGATAAAGATTGTAAATATTTATTTACGTTATTTTTTTATTCTAATTGATCAATTAATGAAAATCTTTTCCAAATATTGTTAATAGGCATTGCTGTACGCGCTAAAGAATGCACAGGATATTCCGATTCTGGAAAAAAGATTTGTAATGAATGTTATTTACTAAAATACAATCCTATATTGGCACATCGTCTTACTATACCAAAACCGGCACCTGAAAATCTTAAATTTACACCAAAATTCTATTTTGAAAATAATTCTTTAAAAAAACATTTGCAAAATCAGGATCTTCATGAAATTTGGTCTGTTATTAAGGACAATTAT